TCCACAGTTTTTTGTTGAAAGACATGTTCATCACACTGTTGGAGTTATGGTTCCAGGTCACCTTTAATCTTCATCAGAGGTAACATGAACGCGCAGCGTTATATCCACGAAGTTCTAGAACCCCATCTTTTACCCTATCTTGACACCCTGGCAGATCCAACTTTCCAACAAGATAATGCCCGACCACATGTTGCAAGAGTCACAATAGACTTCTTTCAACATAATGATGTCACATTGTTACCATGGCTACCAAGATCTCCCGACTTATCCCCAATTGAGCACATGTGGGATATGATGGGTAGGAGATTGCTCAATTTGCAACATCCTCCTCAGACTCTAGAAGTACTTCGAGAGGAGTTGGTGGTTGCCTGGAATGAGATACCACAGGAGGACATTGACCACCTGATCAGAAGCATGCCTAGCGCGTTGGAGAATGCGTAGCACATCAGGGTGCATCCACACATTATTAAAGGTCAAAGGGCTTTAAAGCAGTGCAATCATTTTGAAATTTTTATCATTTACTTATTATGCTTCATTAAGTACTTGTACAAAATTTTATTAAAATAAAACCATTTAAACTGGGTGTTCGGATTTATATGTCACTTAGTATATTATCCAAAGCTAGCGAGTACCTCTCTACCATATTAAGAAAAGAATCTTTTCCTAATTGAAAACTAGTTGGAAAGCACCATAAGTCAGAGCAAAAAGGGGCGTTTTAAATAAAGCAATTACTGAGTTTTTCATGGTGGAGCAGAAAAAGAACATTTTGCTTAGCACGCCGTTTGCCCATAATGGTAAAGCCTTCCGCATTTAGATGGATACGACGTCCAGGCAGGCCGCTCTCGCTCGGTCAAGATGCGAGCACTTTATAGCCTAGTCATTTTATAACAATTTTTGAAATAGATAAATGGCCTAGACATTTCGTCAAACACACATTGTGTGTACCTAACAGATGCATGTAACTCATAAATCTTTGACAGAACAAGCAATTTAGGATCTCCACAGTTTCCAGACTTCATGGGTACCATTCGGCACTTGCAATAAAAACATTCCAATATTACGACTTCTGAATGAAGGCTGCCTCGCAATGCAATGGAATTATTAGTCCTGGACGACTTTGCAGATTGCGCATCAGAGCCAAAACAACTGTGATGAATAAGTTCATCCAGAAGGTTTCCAAAAACATGTGGCAGATTCCTGCTTACTCGTTAAAGAATTTCTCAGTTACCTTAGTGAAAAGACAAAAACTTTGACTGGCTACCTACTCCGAGTGGACATTGTCAGCTATAGGAGCATCTCGATGATATAAAACTAAGTGGCAGATCCTTCTATAGAAGGTGACATGGTTAAGCTCAACTGTTTTGTGACTGTGCTTAGAGGAAAACGAAATAGCGAAACATTTTTTTTTGGGTGCAAAAGCTCTGCAATTGTCAGATATACATAATCTATTTGGTGGCGCAATCATCCAAGCAGAGAATCTGAAAGACACCTTTCCCAACAGGCTAGTCAACTGGTTCGGGAAGGTAGAGCTGATATAGGAAATATATCAGTGAGCCACAATATACCAAAGTGTCGCAGTACATGATCGTGGATCAATGCTCTGATTGCTCAAAGCTTCAAGTAAGCCTGTTAAACACTAATACCCTAAGGTTCTGTATCCCTTATGCTGCCTTTCCCAAGGCATTCTTTGATTTAGATCCTTTCTGTGTCTTTTGGCACCCCCAAGTAGATGTATGGGGTAGTACCATATAGTGAGTGCCTCAGAAGAAACAATTCCGCGAAGAATCACTTTGTTTTAAACTTGTGAGCAACCTGATGGAACCCAAGGCACCTGATCTATAATTGAAGGCGGTCTGTATAGCCGCATGGTTCGCCTTGTACCGTCGCTCTTCTGAAGAAGTTGAAGAATACAAGGTGCTCGCTGCTTCGGCCATGCCAGCACTGCAGCGTCGTATGCACTCCAATTACGTGTTAGCGCCAGTGTCGTACGTGATATTTCTCTTTATTGCCGCATTATCGGCTGGAAAGGATGATGTTTTAACAAATTGTGTGACTCGATCGTCGCAGATGGACTCTTGGAATTCTACCCTATGGGAATTCGCGCTGATTGACGTGTGATAGTGCTTCAGTTAGACGATTGCTGAAAGAGGCTTTTTGTGTGGCAGTTTATTTCAACATGTCATATGCAAATGACCTATTGAATAATGGCTCAAGTTGCAGCGTGTACCCTATTCGTTCTCTGTCAGAACGTATGATACTTGCTCTTGATTGAAGTCCTGTAGGTCGGATGGTCCCTCTATTCTTTTTGGGTGTTGTGACTGTTCGTGGTTGCACGATGGATTTTAGCGTTTTCCAATACTTCATACCAAGTAATGCTCGACTACCGTATCTGGACACCATCCATGTAGAGCAGAGATATTGTCCAGAATCAGGGTGATCATTTTCGAAGAAGTTTTACTTCGCTCAAGTTATATATTATGACAGTGGCATCATACTACATTAACATTAACAATAAATCCACGGATTTCTTCATGAATAGATTTCATGGCAAAATTTCAAAAATTAGGACTTGTTCTCAGTTTTACCAAGTTGGTGCCAACCTTTCCATTCAACTACAGCATTCAATAATATGGTTTCTGTTTATGACATTCGCCTCAAAACCAAAACCACAACAGACAGGCTCAAAAAGTTTCTAGCAAGACTTTGTTGTGTGGTTGGCAGCACTGAGTACTGGCAGATAAGCCATGAATTTGTCTATTGATGTATACACCGCAAAACATAATCAGGATGATATTGAAGAAATCCATCTGAATAAATTAGTGAAGTGTGAGTCTAGATTTGGTTTTGGTGCTTTGGTAACAACTGCAATGGTACTGCAAGGCAGATTGTCGATTGACAACATTATCTTCGATAGTCATTCAGTAAATTTTAGAAAACCTTTTATGGACCTGGCATAACGGAGGAAGCCAGTGATCAGCAAGGGTGAACAGATGTGGACACCCTACACACGAACGTATCAGCCATATAATTACTAGAACTAGTTCCTCATTTGGGTGTCTCTTGCTTAACAAAGTTCAGAATTGTCTTAGGAGTACTGACCTGCATCACACTGTCCCAATCCCAAGCAGGAGCATGTCAAAATATTTATTTATTTATTCGACAAAATATTGTACAACCTTTCACCTCTTCAAAGCATTAGCCCATGTTTCATCCAAGAATGGTTTTGACCAAAACACTCAATACCACCTTAGAGCACTAAGGGTTATACTGAACCTCGAAAATGCTTTTGTGTATTTCGGAATGAGATAAGTGCTCTGAAATGTTAACTCTTCGAAGCATTGGATTGCATCATATTTCATCAGGCAGTAATGTATCAATCCATTCCGCGTCCATTACGAATTTGTTCAGAAAAGAATTAGAATCGTTTCCCTTGTCCTCAAAATATTGTTGAAGCGGTCCGTACGTCATGGTCACTCCATGCCAAACCACTCGTTTGTCCCCATCGAACCGCCTTAGTGGAACAAGGTTATACTGATGTACTTAAGGAACTTGACCTTCCGTCTTCCACTGCATATACATATATGACTAAAATGCCGTTGTGCATGCAACATAGAGACAGATGTACTGCTGGCTACAACTCTTCTCCTCCCATGCACGCTTGAACTGAAACCGCGACCGGCCGACGGTTCAACGTGGTACGACTTGGCGACCGCGCTCTGCGGGATGCAGAATAAAAATGCACAGTTCATTCACTTGATATTTATTATAACCTTCCTAACCTATCTCAATTCACTTCATGTGCGCAGAGTCGTACTTGCTTGGGCTAGGCGGTGGTACCACCACCAGTGGTGGAGCGACAGAACGCCTCAAGTTGAAGAAGTGGGAGCTTCACGTTAATCACAGATTTTATAGTAGTGGCATAGGGAATACTAAGAAATTTTTGGAACTTACCCGAAGTTAGTTATACTACCAGGGGTGACTGGATTAATGGAGTGTAAATTTTGAAAACACCGGCCTTTGTCGGTACGTCGGTAGGTACGCACTGTTGAGATAGACCACACGCCATGAGTGACGGATACCATAAGATATATTTCAAGTATCGGCAACACCGCGCAACCCTTGAGGACGAGCTGCGCGACATGGAAGATTCGGCATCGCATAAAAAATAGAGACTGAAAGACAATCATCATCCGTCATGTATTCAGTGGCGGCTCGTGAGGTAGTGCCACGGTGCCATGGCACTACCTTGTCTTCTTCAAAAAGAATATTTTTTTCAATCTTCAATGTTTTACTTTATTTTTTGCTTTTTCATTTTTTTTTGGTATAAATTATATGAAGTGACAACACTGACAACGTGACAACACCGCAAGCACCCGAACACGCGACGAGATATAAAGCATGCCTTGACCTTGACGTCATCAACTTGTGCCAATGTCGGGCCGGCCCAAATAAAAAGAGAGAAATTTTACCAGCATCGCATACGAGCGACAGAGATAACGCTACAATACACATTTTTATATGAGGTGAATAGCGAAAGACAAGTATAATTTGTGCCAGGCACATCATCAGTCGTAATTCGTTATCAAATGATATCGGCGGTGTTTTTGTTCGGTCGGTCGTTTCGTTATGATTACGTCTAGTGCTGATTTCGGTCTTTTTTTACCTGAAAAGTGAGAAATAACGTTTTTGTTTTAGTACGTCTAGTGTTAATGAACTGCTCTGTTTTGTGATCATATTTTTTACTGTTTTATTAAAACTAGTGAAAATGAATAAAATCGGGATATTAAAAAACTCATTTAGTGGTTTTTCGCTGGATCAAAAACTGCAAATTAAAGAATTAGGACGGCCAATACCCGATTTAAAAATTGAGAAACAAAGTGGTAGCGGACAAAAATCGCGCTGTCGCAAATTTAGTAAAAATGTGTACGATAAAAACAGCTGGATATGTGGTTGTGAAGAAACGAATAAACTATTTTGTTTTGTATGTGTTCTATTTGGAGGTGACGAGACTTGGTCAAAAAAAGGTACAGATGATCTTATACATATATGGGATAAAATGAAGACCCACGAAAAATCTAAAGTCCATATGAATAATGTTTTTAGCTTTTCTATTCTTGGTAAATTAAATATAAGGACTCAACTCAATTCGGCTTATCGCAATGATCTAATTAAACATAATAATCAAGTGGATAAGAATCGATATGTATTGAATAAAATTATTAATTGTATAAGGTTTTGTGGAGTATTTGAGTTAGCCTTAAGGGGTCACGATGAAAAGGAAAATTCGGAAAACAGAGGCATATTTAAGGAGCTGGTGAATTTTAGCGCCGAATTAGACAACGAATTGAAAGTCCATATTCAAAGTGCCAAACTTTTCAAGGGTACCTCAAAAACAACTCAAAACGAGCTTCTTGAGTGCATGCTAGATGTTTATCATGAAGAAGTTAAGAAGGAGATTGCAAATTCTCCTTTTGTTGCAGTAATTGCCGATGAAACGACTGACGTAGCCTGTGAATTTCAGTTAGTTATTATTTTCAGATATTTGTGTAAAGGACAACCAGTTGAGAGATTTTGGAGATTTTACGTCCCCGACGGACACGATGCCAAATCAATCGCTGCATGCGTTTTAAATGTTGTAAATCCATTAATAGATCAAAATCCAAACAAATTAATAGCTCAAAGCTATGATGGTGCGTCTGTTATGAGTGGTGAATTGAATGGCGTTCAAAAGATTATTAAGGAAACTTATCCACTTGCAAATTATGTTCATTGCTATGCACACCAGTTAAATCTAATTATGACAAGCGCATGCTCTGTCAATAAGCAGGCTAGAATATTTTTCCATAATTTATCTGGATTGTGCTCTTTTTTTTCGACGTCTCCTCAAAGAACAAAAATTTTGGATGAAATAGTTAATCGCAGATTGCCAAGATCTTCCCAAACACGTTGGAATTTTCAGTCACGAGGTGTTCATACAGTTTATGAAAATAGGAAAGACCTGATTGAAGTTATGGACAATATAGAAAGTACTTCACGCGATTCTTCGTCGATTAATCAAGCCAGTGGGTACAAATTAAAGCTGCAAGATACAAATTTTGTATTTTGGCTAAGTATATTCCATAAAATAATGCCACATGTTGAAATTGTCTTTAACCAATTACAAAAAGTATGCACCGATTCTGTTAAGGTCAAAAATGATTTAGAGAATTTTGAAGCAGCAATTCAAACTATACGAGAACAAATGGATAGCATTATTGACGAGATTGAACGAGTGCAGAGAGAAACTGATGAACCGGCAAGAAAAAAAAGGCAAGTTGAAGAAGGCAGCAAAAAACGGGAAGCGTTAGAAATATGCGATGCAGTATTATCGCAAATAAGAACAAGATTTAACTTTTCTGGGCATTTAGTTGCTTCTAATTTATTTGTGTCTGAAAAGTTTTCTGTTTATAAACATCAGTTTCCTGAAGCACATTTAAATGACACATGCACACAATTTTCATTTTTAGACAAAAACAGGCTTAAAACTGAGTTACAAGTATTATATCAGAGAGAAGAATTGAGTACTACTTCTGGAGCTGTTCCACTATCCATTTTATTGAACGAGGAAGGATTAAATTGTACGTTTCAAGAAACTCTTAAGCTCTTAAGTATTTTAATCACTATACCGATGTCAACATCTGAAGCAGAACGCTCTTTTTCAATGCTGAAACGGATTAAAACTTTCCTCAGAAACACAATGAAGGAAGAAAGGCTTAGTGCTTTAGGAATGCTGTCTGCAGAAAAACATTTTGTTAGTGGCATTGAAAATTTTAATAATAAGGTAATCGAAAACTTTGCTACCAAAAAAGAAAGAAGAATGGACTTCATGTATAGAAAACTTTGAAGTTATAGGTACTTCTCCACACTTGTTTTATAATTTGGTGCGCGTGTGTAAATAGTTTTATTTTTGATTTTTTTTTGGACATATAGATTTATCGAACCTCAAGAACTTTGACCACTAACTATCAGGGGTAAGTTATAAGTTATTCTTTACAATTTTGAATCGATTCAAAATTATGGCTTCCATTCTGGCACTACCTCACTGAATTGGCACGAGCCGCCACTGCATGTATTCCTTGATCCAAGTAACTGCCAGCTTAAGTATCGTTGAAACTCAATACAGTGATGTGCAGAAAATTACGTGTGTAATCCATAAAAACAACTACAAACAATGAGCTCCACGCATGTAGGAACAACGGCTGTTTCGTTAATATTTGCCTAAACTACTGCAACCCCCATTGCGCCAGCATGCTTTTTGTGTTGCAGAGTTATAGGAGAATCAACCTTCCAATGAAAGTGTTGTGCATGTAGTTTCGAATGTATTTGTACTCGACGAAATGAAGCTCTGGGTCCTCGAAAATGCTCTTGTAATTGTAAACAATAACAATCGACTTAACTTCTGGAAAAATACACACGGGCCAAAACGGCAACGGAAAATGGATATGTATCAAATGGCAGAAGTCAAAATGTACAATTCTAGAAATATCTTATGCAACCACAAGTATATAACAGAAAATACATCCCCTACCCCCTCGTAATTATTCCTAAGAGTTCGTTTTCTCATAATTTCTTAACGACGGAAAATAAAATCACATAACCTGTAGCTACAGTGAGAGGTGGCAATGCTGGCACCTAAAGTCGGTGGTTCTACAGTTCCGTGCAAGCACAGCTTTGAATTGGGTTAGATATTTTCTGGTGAGATATGTTAATGAATGCCAGTACGCAGTGGGAACTCTACAAAAACGACACTGATCTGATATTAGGAATCGCAATTTGACATACTTGGAACTGCAAAAGTACCTTAACTACCTGCTGGGAAAAAAGTGAATACACGATGCTGTTGATAGATTTGGTCGCACTACTAAAGCCTGTTTCGTCAACCTTTCCATATTCAACGCTACTGACCACCTCAAGAACTAAAAATGAATAATGTAGTACGAATTGCGCACGAAACCTGCTTAAAATTTCGCCCGCCGACAAGCTGAGCGGCAGTACTCGATGGTACTGTTGAGTCTAAGGAAAATGCGCAAGGTCGACCGACTGTATGATGACTGTATAATTTGACCTCGACGTGTTGCAGTTGAACAGTTTATGGATCCGTATTGACGCATACACGGAACTGACCACAGATCAATACGCGTCAATAGGCGCAGGTAGAGGTCAATATCTTCCGCTAGCAGTACCGTCTGTGTCACAGAGACTAAATTGGTAACTATTTAATAGATACTACACATTGATCATCCAATGATGGAAATCCCGGAGACCCCACTCCCTAACAGCCTGGGTAGCGTGGTGGTTAGCGTGTCGAGCTAGCAACCCGGGGCTTGCAGGTTCAAATCTCCGCCCCAGATGTTTAATTCCGAGTCATGGATATTGTGTTGTGTGTTATCTATATCACGTGTGTCCAATATTAACGATCGATACATCTCATTGCTGGGGCTGGTTTATTATATCAGTTACCAGTAGATGGCTCGTACAGTAAGGGTCGATGAACAGGGTCAAAGGTGGCCTAGTTGCCTCCGCTGTACGACTACTTACTGCCTAAGAACGCAATCACTTGGTGACGTTGTTTAATACATACACGAGGGGTTAACCAATGACACGTTTTTGGCATAAAAGATCTCCTCCAATCAGATTTCTTTAAATCGCCTTGAGTCTCTTTAGATTTCCTCCGATCGCTCTGTGAAGAATACGGAGTGCATAAAAATTAGTCAACTTAGCTCAGAATGTCGGCTAGCCTAGTGACAGAAACGTGCCACCTACATCTCTTTGGATTGCCCCAGTCTCTAAACGGGTAAAATTATTATTGCAATATTTGGGTATACCTAACGCAACTCTGTAGCCCACCCATCGTGAACACATCGCAGCATATGGCCGGCTATATATCTCGGCTATATCATGAAAATATTTTATGCAATGTGAAGACACACTTGTCGGAATTTATCATCAGACGGGCTACAAAATCGGACGATAATGGCTGACGAAATTGTATGCGTATCTGCAGTCTATATTACAAGTAGGATTCCGATCGCACTAAAAATATTGCTGAATGTTGCTTACTACCCTATTGCAGCTAGATAATCCAGTAACATTATTGGCCTTTCGCCTGGAATAAAAAACCTCCTTGAATTTCGTTGAAGTGGCCCGAAATCTTCTTGGATTACCTTCGGCTTTCTTCAGTTATGTCTGAACTCTCTGAATCTCCTTGGATTGTGCGGATCTTGTCACAGGTGGATATAAAATCTCCCCCACGTCAACCTTAGATAGTTCAAAAATCTGATCAATAACATGACATAGCAATCTCATAATTCAATAAAGTTTGGATACCACCCTATAAATAGTAGTATGCCTTATTTATTCACCTACAAGACCCATATAGACCAATTTCCATTTTCGGAACAATATTGAACGTAACCAGCAATGAAGTCATTAATAAGTACCATATAAAAAAGCTGTCCTTTACGATTGTATGTAAACGTAATCGAGAAAGATAATAATTACAAAACAACTCTCATGTACAGCAATAACCTTTGTGCCATTATACAAAGGAACCATCTTACATAAAGCTGTTATTTCCTTACTTATGGGTAATAACCATACTCAATTTTACGCATAAATGCACTTCCTATACAAAATAAACAACTACACACCATAACAACACTTAAGTTAAGTAAGGAAGTCCAACATCAAACAGAGCATATGATTGAAAGCTTCACTCTTCGCAAAATCATTACAACATTACAACGGGATTTATTTTTGCCAATGACATTATGTTCAACGTACAAGACACCAACTAGTTACGTTCTTTTCATCATAGGAATAATACTAGGTCGACAGGAACTATAGACATAGGATATAGTGCAGGAGACCAAAGGCATAGGTCTAAGAAAAAGTGATGTCTTACAATGAGAACCTTCGGGATTTGCAAAGTCTTATCTCTGAAACTTTAGCCTTACTGAAGGCCTTAAAAACAGTTACACAAGCACTTCGTTTTCTCATGCCATTTATAGAATAGACTTGTGTCCCCTTTTGCTAGGTTTAAAAGACATTTCAGACATGGATGTTGTCTAGTATATGGGAAAATTTTAAATCCCGCAATAAAAGTCTCAAATAGATGTGTCTTAATGCCACCTATCTATGTCCAACAAACAGCTTCAAATTGATACTGGCATTGTGTCTGGACACTGTCAGCTGAGAAAGCATTTCTGTAGACGAGACTAAATGATAAAGCCCTGAGTACAGCTAAGTACTTGCTTTGTAACTGTCCAGCTATCCTATCAACAGTTTGGGATACTTGATGAACCGACCTTGAGGAACACCTAGGGGAGGACGTACAACATACCGTTTTAAAGACTAGGTGCTTTGGTCTTGAGCATCCTTCTTTCACTACTGATTACTGGAGAAATCTTTCCCTCAGTTAGTCTAACTTTGGAATATATATAAATTAATAAAAAAACAAGTCATACTGCTTGTTGATGTTGGAATTTCTAAAAGGTAACCAAGGGTCATGTATCGTCTTCCATACTTCCTCACCTGCTCAACCCACTAACAAAGTTGGAATCAAACCAATAACAACCTATCTTAACCTTGATCGAGATTCACCTCGCACCACCCGCATTGGTTTGATTGGAACTTTAAATTAACGCGCGGTTTTGTCAACAGTGTATTGGTCGTTTGCAGCAACACGCAGCTCTGATTGGTGGACCGAACGCCACCTCGTGTCCACTTTGCCACAAAATGTTCCTCGGAGGTGAAGCCTTGATGGAACACATGAAGCATACACACAAAGACCCCAATGCTTCGGGGGTAGCCAGTAAGTATCTAATTTTGATGGTTTGGTGGATTAGGTGGTTAGTAGTGCATGTTGTTTGTGGTAGAAATAGAATTATGATTGAATGTGCGATTGTGGATACGCCAAAGATTGTTAAAACGCGACACAGAATTGTTTAAACTTTGAATAAATATTAGTCTATATATGATATTTTGCTATCTGAAACATACATAGATACTCGAAAATAACCACTACTAGTTCCAAAGTTCTCAGTCAGTTTTCATTCAACTGTCAACATCCTTTAGCTAGTTCGTAAATAAGTCATAAGTATTTTGATTCGTAACTGTTATTTCTAATTTCCAGAAAGTAGGTTTCTTGTAGTTAGTATACTCATCATGTACAACATGACAGATGCTATTACAAAATTCGTACTTGCTACTGTGCTGATACTCTACGTACACACCGTGAACGCTACCAACTCAGGAATGGCACCACTACTGTTTTGCTGATATTTGCCTAAACTACTGCAACCCGCATTTGGCTAGCATGGTTTGTGGGTTGCAGATTCGTAGCGTTTTATATGGAGTGTGCACACATTCAATGCTATTTGATCCTTAAAATATGTGTTGTCTATGAGCTGATAGCTAATACGCAGTATGAATTTTGCAAAAATTGCAAACTGATAAGGAATCGTAATTGCATAATCTTACAGTTACAGTATTGTATTAAGGGTGTCAAAATCGCATATATCATGAAATATGTCCATCGTATATTTGTGGATGCAAATTCGAATATTATATATGTAAATCTCTTCTTCTGTGACATATATTCGACAACCCCAAAGTACAAACTTTTGAAAATTAAATCCAAACATAGGTTTATGAATAAATACAGAGCCCCAAATACTATTAGTACTACAATACCGATTATAGAGTATCAACATTGCAATTATAAGATGTACAAAGTATCAATAATTACAACCATTCCCGCATGCAATCGAGACTCACATCAACACAAACACTGTCGCAAAGTTGGTAGAAGAGTGTAAAGACAATCTTTGGTAAACCACCAGTTTGCTTAACAGTAGCATTTTTCCTTTATTTTTAAAAGCACGAAAGAATCCGTAAAAACCACTTCCAAGCAGAGCGAACAATGGCAAAGTTTATTCTCCCAGTTCATGAAAGTATCTTGTCGAACCATTGTTTTAAAAACTTATAAATCCTGAACACCGAGTATCAGTGTTGGAAAAGGGATATAAGAAAAAAGAGGAGGCAAACTCCATCGCAATATAGAAATAAATAGAACTAGTACGATAAAATTGGGTATTTCCACTATGAAAACTTTTCTAATGTCTATTTTAACGTGATAAGTCGCAATCAGAGAAACCATTTTTTGCAATCTCAGACAATACTATGGGGCTGTAGGGGATTACAAACAGGCACACATTCGGGCCCCATCAACGAGACGATGATAACGTATTTTACCTGTAGATAGTCAACGTAATAGTATATTCCGGCATTCAAAAAATTATTCGACATGAAATGATATACCGTAACGTCATCTAGCAGAATTTATCACTGATATGTTTCTCTTCTCCATAGGAATGAAGAGGTGAGTGCCTCACAGATAAAGCTGTAGCCAAATGTTATGCTATAAGCTGATACAGCGCCATCTATGAGAAGCTAACCTTTTCAAAGTAGATTTCTGATTGACGCGAGAATATAGTATTAGGTTGGTTATCTTCAGATGGAAAAATTCCTGGTACAGGGTTTCAACCCGAACTTCTAGCAGTAGCAGTCGAACGTAGCAAATAAAATCTAATTAGGTAGTTGAAAAAATATTTGAGTGCACATAACTTCACAACTATCGTCTGAACAAAAGAAATCCAACTAAGACCTGCTTCTTGATAATATATCCGCATTGCCAACAATACCAGACGGATTCGCCATGCTACCGCATTTTGAGGAACAATCTTTCCATTTATTAGAGACCTGTGGATATTCACTTACTGGGAAAACCTAACTTTATCTCGCTAACTTAACAAAAAAAAACGTAGGCAAATTCCATTTCAATGCAAACATAAATATAGCAAACTGCTTTCAAGTTGATCGATCCACTTAACAAAAAAAACCTTTTACATTTTTAAGTGGAGCTAGACGTTGATTTATTATTTAAAACGTCAAATTAACTCAGCATTCATATTTTTCCGCTCTCCAACATCCATAATGAATGGAAACAAGCTTTTTTCAGCGTGAAAAGCCCTGCTTTCTTGGATACACCTACATAGATACCTTGTAATTAGCGGGAGGGGAAATCCTGTTCATATAATAACCATACTAACGGGTGCCTTTTTTGAAGGTTTAAACCTTTAGAGTGGAATGAAATAAAGAAATCGTTATAGAGGTTATGAGTATCAGAGAGCTACCTACTACTAATTCTAATTTTAGACTTACGAGCGCTTAGTCAAGCCTTAGATTTTTGCTGATCTTTTTGGGGATCGTCAGCAGTGTAAATTGATTTAAACTGTATTTCTCAAAACCGTCTCATTTTCCAACAAAAGGTTTGAGCTTCCTAAATACGAAATATATTCGTGCAGCATGTAAAAAACAGCAGAAGTCCCAGATAATCCAAATTAGTTATTGTTTTCAATAGGTCCATCTCAATCAGTTACTAGACTGTCAAAAGTTTTGTTGAATGTAAACTTACCCTGTTGTTTTCATGGCCGGAGAAAGCACATATATGTTTAAAATTCCTCTTTATTGGACGACGTTTCGGTCCTAACAGTGACCGTTTTCAAGTACAATTGACACTTTTGACAATATATTTTCTTTATTTTATCATTTACACATTCGGTTTGTTTATGCACCAGACACGTCACTCTCGTCCATAGTCCCGAAAACGCGAAAAGTCCTAAATTTTATTGAAGTACACATTGTACGCTCAAAACTTATTCACGGAAAAACAATATCCAGTAGCGTTTCTTAGTGGGGAAGCCCGTTTTTATAGTCACATTGAAGAAACTGCCGTGGATATAATATTTGCAATAAAGAATGTTGGTTTTAAGCCATCTATTGTATATGTTCTCTCTACTAGTGATTTGAGACCCTCGCAGATAGTAATAGACAAGCGCGTGATCATCTGATCTTGAGCTCCAACCCTCTTATGGCAATATTTCTTTATTTTACTCCTAATCCTCTAAAAAATCCCACCACTTAACCAGTCATTAGGTTTGTTAGAATAGAAAGTAAGGGTACCGTCAACTAACACATTATTTTTTATTATAAAGAAACGGTGCTTTGCGGGTACCTTTCCCAAAAATGTGCTGCTTTTATTTTTTGCTTGTATTAACATAGTCAATACCATAACGTACGGACAAAGCAAAGTGTGACTAAGGTACAGTTTGTTTTGTTCTAGTCAACATAATTACATTGCATCAATAGACAATAGCCATGATGTCATAATATATGCATTTTTTAACTGTAAAAGTAATATTTGATCAAAGTAATGGTGTCAACGTAGCTTAAAATGCATTCAACGCATGAGCTCGTAAAACATCGAAGCCACCATTGGAATTAATGTAGTACTACTACTTGCCCAAAACGGAAAAAAACATTGGCTATTAGGCCTTTAGTAAGCTCGCGTGACCTTATAGGGATGTTATACAAAATATCAAGTAAAACCAAGACGTTATTTTGGTATCTCTCCTAATACAGAATTTGTAGATCAATTCATCGCCTATAAATAACGAATATGTCGAGTTATTAATAAAGGTGGTGTTGTTTCTATAGATGCATTGTAAGAACTATATGATAATAATAATAAAAGCTTCTATAAAGATCCTGGGGTGCTTCGCTTTATATCTTTTTTCTCTCTCTGTTGACGTCATCGATCCTTATTTAGCGAAAAGGAGAACTGCCAATCACCCATGCCCGGTATGCGGGAAACACTATGTCAACGAAGGCTCTTTAAGAAAACATTTAGCTTGTCACCCCGAAACATCTCAGTTGTCCAGTTCCTTAAGAATGTGGCCATGTTCTGTCTGTCAAGCAGTCTTTACTCACGAATCAGGTACACAATCTCACATAGTACTCACAAACACCTCAGTCATTCGGCAAAAAATAGGGAGTACTTAAGGTCAATAGAAGAGTACTTAGGTATAAATGCCTATCACCAAACAGTACCGTGATTAGTTCAAATGAAGGCGAAAAGATATCGAACTCAAGTACTCTAAAGCATATCTTTCTCAATCTTCCTAATGACTGGGGTAAATAATATTCTCACCAGTATGGTCCACATATGCTTATATTTTATTTTACGTTAAACGCGACTGTGAGTATAGCCTAATACAAAAATACCCCCTCCCCTTCAAACAATCTATTTAAAATGAAGAACTTTTTGGAAGTGGCAGTGCTAGAAAGTATAAAAGCGAAGTTTTACCTCACTAAGGATGGGTGTAAACATGACTTTATGAAATGTTACAATGTTTACTGAGTTTTTGGTAGGACTGCACCTTTGTTGTTGTTTTATTGTTTCTTTATGTTTTTGTTTTATGCATATGTGGACCGCAACTGATGAGAATATTATCAAATTATAAGATAGTTTGTCATTTTCATGAAACAATGTGTATTGCTTGTAGTCAATAAATGTGATTTTAAGTCTGTTGTCTAGCTTTGTATGTATTTTTCCGTAAATAAATATTTGTATTCCTACATAACCTATGAGTTGTAAGTTCTCATATGGTTCGTACAAGATAAAGCAGGTAAATAAATTTTATATAGCAAGGAAGCCTCTTTTTAATATTATTTAAGAACAAGCCAAAAAAATCATCGATATGATTTGAGTTAAATTTTGTGACTAGTATAAAAGTTGCATATCGTTGTTAACACAAGAAAACCACGTAACTCCACTTTATATAGCGTTTAAAATAGGAAAAACACGTAATTCCTAATTTTACCTATTTTCCACTTTTGTTTTGAAAATTTCAGCTTTCTTTAAGTATAATTCAGAAACTGCTCAAATAAACTATAATATTGCATTTATCACAATAATGCTATTATTCCTGAAACAATATAATGCATAACTCAATTTGTTTTTACGCTTTCCTCTAAAATTCTTAGAAACGGAGTTACGATTTTTTCTTGTATCATCGACGATATTTGAATTGTTTCAAATTACGCGTCATCCACCCTGTGACCAAAATGCCCAAACAAACTCAATGGTCACTCTCTCCATTTTCTTAGGGCTGTTAACGCACATGGAACACATGAGAATGGACCCCAAGCATCAGTTTGCTGCACAGTACGTACTGTCAAGAGCTGCTGCAGAAAGGAGAGAACGAGAAAGTCTGCTGGCAGCTGTCACGTCTGCGTCTGGTAGTGGGCTGCTTGGACTCACAGGAATGGGACCAGGTAAACAAACTCTCACTTCCCAAATAGCAACCATATTTTTTCCATAGAGACCCGATCGAAGATTAACACCTATCTTTATGTAAAAGCTTTGATAATAATGGGCTTATCCACATTACAGCACAAAAGTCGTTTAGAAGCCGCTTCTTGGAATGAAATAAACGTCAAACTCAAACAGATTTAAAAATGACCTTGATCTTGGTCATGACCTAAATTTATTCCAAGGTCACCTTGAACTTTCTCAATTAGTGAGATTTTATCTAGTATGCTCATATTCATAGAACAATTCCTAAACTACTGTTGAACAGGTCGAACAAGTAAAAACTTTAATATCATTAGTCTTTGATCCTTCACCTTATAGATGATTTCAAGCTCTTTCAGGTTGTTGATCTGGCATAATCTCAATTCCATAACTATACTAAGTGACATATAAATCCGAACACCCAGTTTAAATGGTTTTATTTTAATAAAAGTTGGTGAATGTATTTATCTTACTGTAAATAACAAGTGAAAAAATTTTCAGCCTTATCAGTTGGACATTCCGGTTTTTATACTGCTTTTTTTTAATTCACTAACGCTCTAAAAATGAATATTTCAGCCGCAGTAAAGAATCAACGTTGGCGGATTTTGGTTCTTGACATCCTTTACGATCGGTTACGATTTCGTCAACTTAGTGAGTTTGATAGGGGCCGTATAGTGGGACTTCGGGAAGCTGGACTTTCTTTTCGGGCAATTGCAGTTAGAGTGCAAAGAAGTGTAGACACTGTGGTTAGGTGTTGTCAGGCATGGCTTCGAGAAGGCCGTACGCAAAGAGCAAGGGGCACTGGACGCCGCCGTAGAACAACAGACCGTGAAGATCGCCGCCTAAGATTATTGGCCTTAAGGGACCGTTTCTCCACTACCAGGTCTATTGAAAATGAATGGTTTGCAGAACACGGAAGACCTATTGGCATGCGAAGTGTTTACCGACGAATGAGAAGTTTTGGCTTGTTTTCATACCGGCCACACTGGGTCCTCCCTTTAACTCGAGAACACCGACGTAATCGCCTTGAGTGGTGCAGACAACGGTCACTCTGGGATCAGGAATGGAACAGTATTGTCTTCAGTGACGAGTCTCGATTTTGTTTAGGCATGCACGATGGTCGTGCCAGGATTAGAAGGCGACGTGGTGAAAGGAGGAATCCACAGTTTTTTGTTGAAAGACATGTTCATCACACTGTTGGAGTTATGGTTTGGGGTGCTATAGCTTATGGTTCCAGGTCACCTTTAATCTTCATCAGAGGTAACATGAACGCGCAGCGTTATATCCACGAAGTTCTAGAACCCCATCTTTTACCCTATCTTGACACCCTGGCAGATACAACTTTCCAACAAGATAATGCCCGACCACATGTTGCAAGAGTCACAAAAGACTTCTTTTAACATAATGATGTCACATTGTTACCATGGCCACCAAGATCTCCCGACTTATCCCCAATTGAGCACGTGTGGGATATAATGGGTAGGAGATTGCTCAATTTGCAACGTCCTCCTCAGACTCTAGAAGCACGTCGAGAGGAGTTGGTGGTTGCCTGGAATGAGATACCACAGGAGGACATTGACCACCTGATCAGAAGCATGCCTAGGCGCATTGGAGAATGCGTAGCACATCAGGGTGCATCCACACATTATTAAAGGTCAAAGGGCTTTAAAGCAGTGCAATCATTTTGAAATTTTTCATTTACTTATTATGCTTCATTAAGAACTTATACAAAATTTTATTAAAATAAAACCATTTAAACTGGGTGTTCGGATTTATATGTCACTTAGTATATCTTGCATAATTATCACAAATGGCATTAATGTCTATATTTATATGTCTTTATTGTGATTTGCAGCTAGCGGTAGTCCAATGTGCGCATCACCAAGTGCTCACAGCGATAGTTCCTCAGGCAATGGAAGGCTTTCATCGGCAGGTTCGGAAGCTGGAGGCCTAAACAACAATAACAACAACTGCAACACTAAATTAGGTGATATCTTACGAAGTGAGTTACTATAATCCTATTATAGTTCAAATGATCCACGTCGATGAGAGATGGATTTCTTAAATATTCAAGACGTTTAGAGGTCGGAAATAGTGGCAGGAATATAGTATTCCCAAGATTATTGCAGTATTAACCAAGCCATCCATATGAAGATTGTTATAAAGTTTAGTTAAATATTTTCATAGTTTGCACTCAAACTAGCCATATCTACGTTATTGCTTTGAGCCTAAGTTAAGTTAGTTCTACATCTACACTACTCAAAAAAATTAAGGGAGCAAGAAAAAATCTAGATTTTTCAGTGATTTTGACAGGTCATATTTCGGCGATAAATGGTCATAGCTAGCTTTTAGGAGCACGGGTCTCATGCAATTCTAACAAATATCCCAAAAAGCATTTTTTTCCAGTCCACGGGCTTAAAAAAAATGTTAGAGAGAGCCCGTTAATTCAGCTTCAAAATCCTGTTTTTGAAATTCCGATACGATCATTTAGCGTGGAGATATCCGACTTTGAATGAAAAAGGATTCTTGTCATCAACCGCTGGTATCTCGATAACAAGTGATCGCGCAGGCTATAAGATTTGATTGTAATCTTAAAGGAATTTTTTTGTTCACTTAGTATTGATTTTAAAAAAGGCAAAAAAGGTTACTTTTTACCTTGTTTTGGAAAATCGCCCGCATATTGGGACTGCTGATAAGAATGCTAATGTTCTTAAATGTTTTCATACCTCAATGCATCTCAAAATTTTAAAGAAATCAAAAGAGCAAGATTTGTCTACCAAAACGTAATCTGGTTAAAAATGGGAAAATCTCATTTCTTCTCGTGTTGTCACTATTGGATATATTTAACACAATTTTAAAGAAACAATTGGAAAAAACATGAAATATTCCAAAAAACAAAAATACTTCTTTCGGTCTGGAGAAACCGTACAATGGATCGATCTGCCGTCGTGAAACTTTTTGAAGTCAACACCAAGTAAACAAAAAAATGTTCCTCAAAGATTGGAATCAAAGCTTATAAGGGATTTATTCCAGTTTCGAAAATACTCACACCCTCTGTGCTATCACTTGTTACCGAGATATCAGTGGTCGATGACAAAAGGATCCTTTTTCATTCAAAGACAAATATCTCCGCGTCAAATGATCGCATCTAGATTTTAAAAAAGGATATAGAAGCTGAACAAATGGACTATATGATCCATATGATGGCCTAACATAAAAAAAATCAAGGCTAACTAAAAAGAAGGCAGTAGGTATTGCAAAAAAAATTGCTTGCGCTACCTGTTAGAATTGCATAACAATCGTTGCTCCTAAAATGTTTCGACTAAAGAACTTGAAAACTAGAATCTTAAACCTTCTTAATGCCTTTGTTAAAGTCTATACCACGGTTCACCAACATTCAGCTTGTCACCGAAAAATATAGTTCTCTTGCTCCCATAATTTTTTGGGTACTGTATCTATAAACGTTTGAACCTGACAGTGCCGACTTCGTTCGATTAACGATTCGTATAATAATTAAAAATTTTCCAATATATCTAAAACGAGACATTGCTCGACTGACCGGCCTCCAAATTCGGAGTCAGCATCTTAAAGAACGTATTGTAAGCATCGTTTGTAACAAAATACGTATCCCATATAAATGGTTACTAAATATCAAAATGTGGTTGAAAAGACTACTACCGTATGTATTTGGGTCGTCGAATCTGCAGCCATTCGCAATGGATGTGGTTAATGATGAACATCCTATCGTCTACTGGAAAATTGCTAAATTTTGCCAAATATGTAAGTTTGGGATGCTGAACTCAAATATGATCGTTAAATTGCGCGCGAACGAATGTACTTCTACCCGAGACGTTATATTAAATTCATACCATTCGTGAAGGTCATTTCCAACAACGTTTTAAAATAAATATTTGGGCGGGTATTCTTGACGATCATTTAATTGGACCTTTCGAGTTACCTCCAAAGTTATCAGGAGAAGGATACCTTAGCTTTCTAGCCAATAACCTACCAGAACTTTTGGAACAGACCTTAGGCAACATGCCATTACAACGGAGGCAGAATTTGTGGTTTCTTCATGAGGGGGCACCACCACACATTTTTAGAGGCGTCATTCAGTATTTGAATGAACATTATCCAAATCGCTGAATCCGTCAAAATGCTCCTGATCCTCAAAATGGCTATTAAGATCTCCTGACCTCAATCCGATGGATTTCTGGTATTGGGGAGAACTTAAAGGGATGGTTTATGGGACTTCACGAAAACAATTTGAATGCGGCTGAAATAATAAATGGACAACTTCGAGGACATATAGTAAGAAGAAACTGGGTTCGTCGTAATGAAGCTTTTGTAGAAAGTGGAGGACGACATTTTGAACACCTTCTTTAAATACAAAAAAGTGCAGTGTGGGTTTCAAACAGAAAAACAATGCATGTATCAAAATTGTGTTAAATAATGACTATCATAATAAATTGATTGGTCCGTTAGAAGAAACAGTGTAGACTGTTAAAGCCTATCTCCGAGGCAGATTTTTTGCGTTACTGATGATGCTTACTGGCGTCCAATTGTGTAGCAACTTTCCAAGTGACGTACTTCACAGTTCAGTTTGGGGCTAACAAATTCAAACTATATTCCATGCACATTATTTTCGACAGTTGCAAACATGCATACTAATATCATATTTTCTTTGCTTAGGTAATAATGGCTTGCATCAGCAGTACAACGTGGAAGACCAACTGCATACGGCGAACCGGATGGCCGTGATAGCCAACATGGTGGGCCAAGGCGCCGGAGTGCCTCCCGGTCTCAGTTCAGATCCCTCTGCAGCCGCTGCTAACATCACCGCCGCAAACCTTGCCAACCTCGCCATGCGACTAGGAGTCACACAGGTAAAATTTAATTTTCCAAAACAGGATTAGCAATCCGTACATAGAAATCATGCAACCTTTGTTAAACTATTGGAAAGAATTTATTTTGGAACCTAGCCCGGAGACACAGCAGAACTACTATCAATGTGCACTAATCACCTTGACTGCAGAAAATATGGAACAGGAATGGAGTGGACTTTTTATGCCACCTCTGGGTGCAAAACAAACAAGACACGGCGACTGTTTGGATAATCCTAAACCAATTTATACAGAATTTACGACTACGGAATTTGGTACTAGACAGGTTCCTTAATGATAGGCGAATATTTAATGGTGTGAATCTAGACGAAAAATTGATGTTAGTTTGTTTTATAAACTATGTTTCCTTACAAAAACTCGGGGTGTTGAAGTTTTAGGAAAAAATGGAAATTGATTAATATTTTCATAACCGCTTTAGATATTTCGCTGATATTTAGTACGTAGTGAAAGTTAATAAAGTTTCATATTTTTCGATGCAAAAGTAATTTTTAGCTTTAGCAGTGGCGTGCGTACGGGTATTGACTTCGACATTTTTTTAAAAAAAAATGGTACGCCAATGATTTTTTGCCAAATAAAAATTATTTTTGAATTCCCCGTTCAATTTAAAACAAAGGGTCTGTCTTGAGTTGCTTTCTTTCGATACACGATTTTTGAGTAAAAAAATAAAAACCGTCCTATTGTCCGAGAAAATTAATGTAATAATTGAAGAATGCAATTTAGCAATAAATATCTAGTTGCTCTGAAATATGTCACTGACTTTTAAAATCTGACAAGTCTCTGTTATTCAAATCTGTTCACTGTAACATCTTTTTCATTATTTAGTTTTTACAATCTTGTTGATAATGGTGAATTATTCAAATGCAGAAATGGCGGATATGCATTACGTATATGGCCTGGCCGACGGTAATGGTGAGCAAGCCAAAAGGAATTTGTCATCAGAGATATCCCGATCGTGCTTTGCCAGATAGTTGAACCTTTGCTAATATTCAACGTCGTCTTGTTGAAACTGGTTCTGTCCGAACATTTGAAGGTAGACCTCTAAGTGTGAGAACATCTGAAATTGAGGAGGCAGTGCTACACGAAGTCGAGGAACATCCTGAAACGAGTACAAGGAAGATCGCTAGACACTTAAATATTTGCCATCAAATTATTTAGAGAATTTTAGTGAATTTATTGTTATATCCTTACCATATTTTAAGAGCACAGGTATTACTTCCCATTGATTTTCCAAGGCGTGTGACATTTTGTCAGTGGTATCTTCAAAAAATTACACAGAATCTGCAATTTGAATCAATGATTCTGTTCACGGACGAATCTAACTTTTCTCGAAATGCCATTCACAATGTCCACGATAATCATTTGTTGGCAGAAGAAAATCCCTATGCCGTAACCGAAACACATTTCCAACACCAATTTTCGGTTAACGTATGGGCAAGAATTATTGGCAACCACTTTATTGGCCCATTCTTCTTGCCGGGACGACTTGACGGACAGACTTACCTCAATTTTTTTCAACAATAGTTGCCTTTGCTGCTTGACGATGTTCCGTTAGTAATAAGAAACAATACGTGGTACATCATGATGGTGCACCAGCGCATTTCAGTGTAGCGGTTCGTAATTATTTACAAACAGTTTTTATTTTTTTACTCAAAAACGGCGCATCAAAGGAAAGCAACTCAAGAGAGATTATTTGTTTTGAGTCGATCGGAGAATACAAAAATAATTTTTATTTGGCGAAAAACCATTGGCGTACCATTTTTTTCTTAAAAAATATCGAAGTCAATACCAGTACGCACGCCACTGTTAAGGCTAAAAATTATTTTTGCATTGAAAAATATGCGACTTTATCAACTTTCACTACGTACTAAATATCAGTGAAATATATCTGAAGCGGTTCTGAAAATATTAATTAATTTCCATTTTTTTCCTAAAACTTCAACACCCCGAGTTTTTGTAAGGAATCATTTTTGTACCATTGTTTATAATGCAAACTAACATTAATTTTTCATGTAGATTCACACCCTTGAATATTCGCATATCATTAAGGAACACCCTGTATATTACGAGCATTGATATGTCATAAGCGTAAAAGGCTGCAGGGCTCTCAGGAAATTTAGCCAGACAGCTCCCACAGGAAAAATACAAGCCTTTCCATAACATTCAAACCTACTACGGTATTAAGAGCTAGATAGAATTAGGAGAATTCGAGGAGCTACGATCTACCAAACGAGTTATTAATTGGGGTGGTATTGGCAAAGACCTAACCACTGCCACTTCTCTCAGGTTTCGTAAGATCCTCTTGGATCTCTTTAGTCCTTGGATCTACTCAGATTCCCTTGAGCTTCCTCGAATATTTTTATATCTCGACCACATGCCTTTATTTGGTTCTTGTACAAATACGTTTTCATTTTGAGTAAGGTGAGCACCAAAAATTTGAAATTAAAGAATCGAAATCTTTTTAAGCATTTTTCAACTTTTGTGACCATTGCCTAATAGTGTTTAAGTGTATACAAGTATACATTATCAAATATTTCTATGAATAATGAAACATATTTATTGAACAGCTGGTATAACCTATGATAAATTTTGAATGTTTTACAAGTTGCTGAGACTCAATTTGAACGTGGATGAAAATAGTATTATCCTGTATTTTTGGAAAAAAATAGTTAGAATGTCAATAGTTTTGAACAGTAACATTCGAATAGAACGACAACAATAGAAGATATCGAATAGTTTTTTCTACAATAAATGTTCAAAGAGGCTACGGATTATCTGAGAAAATAAATAAATTCAATTGTTTTCGGGTACTTCATAGGTGTCTAGATAAGCACAATGCTTAAATATTAAAAGTATTGCGATCAAAACAAATCAATGTCATGCTATTTTTTCTGGATAACTTTATCCGTATCTACGTACATGGAGGGTCTGAAAACAACTGTATCATGTGATATTCATCACAAGGCATACTTAATTAAAATAAAATACGTTCCATTCTTTTATAATTTTTTAGAACATCATCATTTCTTTTAGTGCTAATATGCTCCAGCTTGAAAACAAAGCCTCGGACCCATGTTCATATGGAAATTTTGTCTTCAAATTGAACAAGGATTCAATGGTTAAAGTTTGTCCACATAATTTATTAACACCCTGTACAATAAGTATAAGAATAGCTGTTATAGCTAAACTTCGCCATCAACCTGCTCACTAATTTCATTATAGGTAGTACATGTATTATCTGTAATTGAAGCGTGGAAACTCAAAAGCGTCTAAGTGCCAAAAAGTGATAGTTGAGTTATTAAAGTTTTTTTATAACAAATAAAAGACAAGTATATTGCAGTGAAACATATTTTATTAATCGGTAATATACTAAGTGACATATAAATCCGAACACCCAGTTTAAATGGTTTTATTTTAGTAAAATTTTGTATAAGTACTTAGTGAAGCATAATTAGTAAATGATAAAACTTTCAACATGATTGGACTGCTTTAAAGCCCTTTGACCTTTAATAATGTCCTCCTGTGGTATCTCATTCCAGGCAACCACCAACTCCTCTCGAAGTGCTTCTAGAGTCTGAGGAGGACGTTGCAAATTGAGCAATCTCCTACCCATCATATCCCACACGTGCTCAATTGGGGATAAGTCGGAAGATCTTGGTGGCCATGGTAACAATGTGACATCGTTATGTTGAAACAAGTCTATTGTGACTCTTGCAACATGTGGTCGGGCATTATCTTGTTGGAAAGTTGGATCTGCCAGGGTGTCAAGATAGGGTAAAAGATGGGGTTCTAGAACTTCGTGGATATAACGCTGCGCGTTCATGTTACCTCTGATGAAGATTAAAGGTGACCTGGAACCATAAGCTATAGCACCCCAAACCATAACTCCAACAGTGTGATGAACATGTCTTTCAACAAAAAACTGTGGATTCCTCCTTTCACCACGTCGCCTTCTAACCCTGGCACGACCATCGTGCATGCCTAAACAAAATCGAGACTCGTCACTAAAGACAATACTGTTCCATTCCTGATCCCAGAGTGACCGTTGTCTACACCACTCAAGGCGATTACGTCGGTGTTCTCGAGTTAAAGGGAGGACCCAGTGTGGCCGGTATGAAAACAAGCCAAAACTTCTCATTCGTCGGTAAACACTTCGCATGCCAATAGGACTTCCGTGTTCTGCAAACCATTCATTAGCAATGGACCTGGTAGTGGAGAAACGGTCCCTTAAGGCCAATAATCTTAGGCGGCGATCTTCACGGTCTGTTGTTCTACGGCGGCGTCCAGTGCCCCTTGCTCTTTGCGTACGGCCTTCTCGAAGCCATGCCTGACAACACCTAACCACAGTGTCTACACTTCTTTGCACTCTAACTGCAATTGCCCGAAAAGAAAGTCCAGCTTCCCGAAGTCCCACTATACGGCCCCTATCAAACTCACTAAGTTGACGAAATCGTACAGGTCTCCGTACTCTAGGAATCGTAACCGATCGTAAAGGATGTCAAGAACCAAAATCTGCCAACGTTGATTCTTTACTGCGGCTGAAATATTCATTTTTAGAGCGTTAGTGAATTAAAAAAAAGCAGTATAAAAACCGGAATGTCCAACTGATAAGGCTGAAAATTTTTTCACTTGTTATTTACAGTAAGATAAATACATTCACCAACTTTTATTAAAATAAAACCATTTAAACTGGGTGTTCGGATTTATATGTCACTTAGTATAAGTGTTTGAAATACACTAACTACATTTCAAAAAAATTTAAAATAGAGAAAACTTTTTTTACAGAAAAATGCCAAACATATAAAACTAAGAAACAGTCTAAGTGTCCAATTAAAGTAACTTAAAAAAAACACGAACTTAAAGTTAATTCATGCTTATTTTGATTTCTTGGCATTGTCAATCAAATTTTCCCAATAACTTAAATATTTTATAGGTATATATTCTAGCATATCCTCAAGATTTTTAATTTTCTCAGCCGACATTCGATTTTTGCATTCGAGTAGAGGTAGTTCTACTACTACGTCTTGTATCCGTTTTCCCTTCTTTAACACATTGCACTTGGTATATTCTTCCAATTCATTGAAAGATTACTTAGTTTTCACCATATTGGGATTTTCTTTATTAACCATAATCCACGAAACTTGGGATATTTTTAACTTTGTGGTATTCAACATATCGTCAGCAAGTGTCTGAATGTCTTTGAAGTCTTCGGATTTCATCGTTAAAGGATTTTTATAACATTCATTCACTATCATCTTTTTTACATTATCTGGTGTGAAGCCATTTATTACTTTTTTTCGCTTCCCGATTTGAGCGAAGTCTCGATCACAAGCGAGATACGAATGTCCAGAAACTAAAAAATTTTGTTCGACTTGCTCATATACTCCCGAACCCACGAAGTATATTAACAGCAAGAGCATTATTTTATTTTTATTTTGACCAATGCAGTTATCACTCCATGTAAAATACCTCTGTAATAAAACTTTCAAAAGACAAGAAGAAATTTCATTTCCACCACAACCCGTTAACGACTCTTCCCATAAGCACATCTAGGCATAGTGTAACTCGCTAACGGTAATGGTAAGGTTTATCTCAAAAAACAATGTAAATGTACGGTTATACCCTCAAAAACTGCGATGCAGCAATGTGTAATGAATTGAGGAGCAGACTTAGACGTGGCTCCATCTTTAAACCGAGTATTTAACAATAATATAGTGAGTATGGTACTTGAGTTTTTTATATGTTATTGGCTCTGGCACATAGACTACAATAATAATAAAATTCCAAATTTGGGCCATCCGGCACTTGGACGCTTTTGAATTTCCAGGCTTCAATTTGTTTTTAATAGAAGAGTTCTAGCACTAACATGGTTTCTGGTGTAAACGGGCAGTGTAAATGTTCAGAAACTGACAAGGCTAACAAACCTAATCGATATTTCTTCCCGTTCCAGGCGAACCAAGTGAACAACTCCTCGAACCCATCGACGCCTCCAGCGATCGCGAACGCAGCCGACACCTTGTCCTTGAGCATGAACGCGATGAACGCGATGCGGGCATCCATGGATAGCATCCGCAGCATGGATGCGGCGATGCGGGCCGGATCAGCGGCGGCTGTGATGGACATGAGCCAATCGGCTGCTGCGGCTGCGGCTGCACAGCAAGCGCAGCAGGCGCAGCAACAGCAAGCGGAGGCGTTGCGGATGCAGCACGCGGAAGCGCTCATCAGGTAAGACTAGATTGGGGTTTATACAAACTAGTGGGGTTACCTTGAGTAAAACACGAAAATAAATCATTCCAAGTAGGATGACTCCAATAGAACTCACATACGATGGGAAACGTTCGCCAAGTACTTTAGCAAGAAGGATACTTGTGGCAGAAATATATCGGAGTGTTGAATATCAAATTCCAATCTACGTTTAGTTAATTCTACCAGCTCTAAGTATACTGCCCAGATTACAAGATACTTTTAAAAACACTACGTACCTATCAGTTGGACGAAAATCGGGAGTAGATCGTCTGGGTAGGTTCGGAATTTAATGCCAATTTGATGGTAGGATTCATTTATAACAAACTCTAAGTGCCGATTGGAACCGCGGAATCTAAAATCCTTATCCGGATCATAATAGACCAATGAGAAGGCGTCTTTGTAGTAATGGATCAAATAATGAATATAGTCGATTTCTTCTAACTAGCTAAAAAATATACGAGTTCTATAAGATGGGCCTCTAATCCCCATATTAAATCAAGAAATTCTATATACAGGGTGTCTGCGAAAGGTTATGAAATCTCGAAGCTAGAGATACTAAAGACCAAAATATGTGAATTGACCCAAACATACCTCAGCCCAAAAGTTGATAGTTTGCGAGATACAGGGTGTCAAAGTTATACTTTTATTTTTTTATTTTTCCTTATTGCTTAATAAGCATTTCAGATTTTGGCATAAAACTCGGTATAGGGAGGTTTTCTAGTACGAGAAGAATCCGTTATTTTCCATGGCTAAACTTCTAGAGAGCACCACTTGCAGCACTATTTAGGTAAATAATTTATCATAACTTTTTTGTGCTACCCCGTATACAACAACTGACCGAAAAATCTGATTTTCTCGAATATAACGCACACAACAAAAAAGGTTAACTTGTTAGAACCCCGATATCATTAAATATTTTTAAAAAATATTTGTTAAATATTTGTAGCGACAGATTTTTTATTATTCAATAAATATATTTTTTATATATTTATAAAATATTCATTATAGATATTTGTAGTACATATAACTCATATATTTTTGCGATATTTTTTCCAAATATTTAGAAAATATATGGGGAAAGATTTTTAAATATCAATTTTATATTGTGATACAATATCTAATATTTTTCGTAAATACGTATGAATTTTCAAGCATTAATTTGATACATATTTTCAGTGTATATAGACAACTTTTCATTAGTTATTTTAGCAAAACCTGTAGGAATGCTTATATAAAACTGGGCTTATAAAGAAAATTCATTCTAGATATAATGGTTTAATTTGCTAGAAAAATATTATTAAAATACGCCTCTTCTGCATCTTGCAAGTCCACTCCTCTGAAAAAAAAACTAATGATGAAGTATTATTGAATACAAAAGCTACTTTCCAGTGTATTTATGGGAATATAAAATGCAGTGGAAGAATATTGGTTCTGAGCATGGTGAGTAGTAGCTCTATAATGCACCTAAAAGGACCCCACATTTTCTGTCCATGATATTTCGAGGTTTAATTTTTAAGAAAATTTGGTATGCTGTTTTAGATATCTTGATAAAAAATGTCCTTGGACATAACTTGATCCTTTGACTAACTTTCAAAGAAAAGGTTTTTGAAAATAGACCACTTATTGATTTTGTTGAAATTTGACTTTTTTAGTAAGCGAGCTAACTTAGCCATAACTGTTTTGTGAATCTATATTATAATTCAAGGGACAAAAGTATAGTATTTTCGAGTGCTAAAATTTTACGTACTACGACAAAAATAATAATAATCGAGATATTTAAAAATAGCATTTTTGATGTATCTCAAATAATGAATCACTTGGAGGTACACAGGAAGCACGCTATCATAGTGAAAGTCACAGGTAAAATGGATGCCGGCAAACAGGTCGCCTCAGGCCGGCTTGCTATTATCCTATCCGTCGCTCGTGGTTACACGCACATGCGCCGTAGTCGAAAATATTTAATGAATATTTTCTAAATATTGGAGATTCAATATTTTCCATTGATTGAAAAGTAAATATTTAATGAATATTATAGAAGGAATATTTAAAAGATATATTTAAGTAACATAAAAATATTATTAAATATTAAATAAATATATAATGAATATTTTGTGCTATCGGGGAAGTGTCTAAGGCTACTAGTTTTTGTGATATTTGTTTTTCTACCAAATTAAACCATTATATCTAGAATGAATTTTTTTATAAGCCCAGTTTTATATAAGCATTCCTACAGGTTTTGCTAAAATAACCAATTACAAATTGTCTATATACACTGAAAATATGTATCAGATTGATGCTAGAAAATCCATACATATTTACGAAAAATATTGGATATTTCATCAAAATATAAAATTGATATTTAAAAATCTTTCATCATATATTTTCTAAATATTTGGAAAAAATATCGCAAAAATATATGAATTATATATACTACAAATATCTATAATGAATATTTTATAAATATATAAAAAATATATTTATTAAATATCAAAAAATCTGTCGCTACAAATATTTAACAAACATTTTTTAAGAATATTTAACAGATATTTAATGCCATCGGGGTTCTAACAAGTAAACCTTTTTTGTTGTGGAAAGACGAGAAAATAAGATTTTTCGATCAGTTGATGTATAAATGGTAGCACAAAAAAGTTAGTATAAGTTATTTACCGAAATAGTGATGTAAGTGGCGCCCTCTAGAAGTGTGGCCATAAAAAAAAGTAACGGATTCTTGTGTCTCATACTAGAAAACCTCCCTATACCGAGTTTAATGCCAAAATCTGAAATACCTCTCAAGCAATAAGGAAACAGAAAATAAAATTGTAACTTTGACACCCTGTATCTGGCAAACTATCAACTTTTGGACTAAGGTATGTTTGGGTCAATTCAGATATTTTGGTCTGTAGTATCTCCAGTTTCGAGATTTCCCAACCTTTCGCCGTCACCTTGTAAATCACCTGGTTTAGCTACAAAAGTGCATTGAAAATTGGCTAATCGGAGAGGAGCCTATAATCCCTACCCAAATCGTGGATCAAACCTAATGTAATGCCTAGACTGAGATGACATCAAATGCTGAGCAAAGACCAGTTTGTAAGATAAATTTTAGAAAAAGTCTTGAAATACGAACTCGAATATTATATGAATTCGAATACACACATCTCTAGCCGACAAGGAGGCACAAGAAAGAAGGGTTTCCATTTCACATTTTATAGACGTTATGCTATTACGGACCTTTATTTTTGTTGCATTATTCCTTATCAGGTTTTTACCATTTTTTTTTTAATTTTAAAAGCAACGGCAATAGTATACTCGTATATTCGTCTAAACCAGATAAAGGTATTTAAAATAATTGTTACCCAGAAACATTTCTATTTACCTTTGGTGACAGCAGCAGAAAATGTGATAATGGAAGACAATTAAGAAGTTTGTTGGCATCTACACCCAACTAACAACGGATATATCCTTTTTTTCAATTTACTCGGGTGTTTATGTTTGTTTTGAATATCATATACAAGGTGGGTTTTTAACTGGTCATTGTTGATCCGGATCATAGGTGTTGATCTTCGGATCGACTGGAAAAATATGTTTTTGTAGCTAAACCAAGGGATTTATAAGGAATTTCGAGATTTAGTATTTGGATTAGAGGCTATTTTTACACAAATAATATTTTTTTTCGCTAGTTTTAGAGATAATTTAGAAAAAATCGAACTATATTCATTAGATACATTACGAGGGGCGAATATCCTTTTGAGGAGCAACAGTTACGAGTATTACTAATTTACTTTCAGCAATCCCTTATTCAGGAACTCTAATTGTTCAATGAATTTGAGGAGGATTTGTTGATAATGCAACCTTAACTCGATTCTTTACATTCCATTTCTTGCTTTCGTTCATTGTTACTGCCTTGGTAATCATTCATCTACTTTTTCTCAGTGGGACATTTTGATCCAGTTCAAAAATTTTAATCTCCTGTTAGTAAAATTGAGCCTAAGTCTTACATGGAAGCCCAAGTGATTATATTGTTCTACCTTGAATACGGCTCCACGGGAGTTCATGCTTTTTTGATGGACACATTCAAATTCGTCGGTTTAAATTACAAAACTCAGCAAGTTTCAGTTATTTGTGACAACGGTTGAGAAAAATAAACATTCAGCCCTACAAATACCTAAAATATTTTTATTTTGGGTTTCCCGTGACAAAATTTTCAAAAGCGCTTGCGTACGTGTAATCTCTAAAAAAAGCTGATTTCAGGGTAAGTGGAGTGTGTGGATTCAGGCAAGGCAAGATACAAAAATAGACATTTTGCCTCTGATGCAATCATTCCCAAAAACCATTACTGTCTATGACCTGATCGAACACTCGTTTCCTGGATAAATTGCATGCGTAGATGTAAAATCCGAAGTCATTTGAAAGAGCCGTTTTTAAAACGCGCAAAAATATAGACGTCTTTTAAATTAGAATTTAGCATGACACCTGAATAAATTAATCCTGACTCTTCATATTTCATTTCCAGGTCGCAAGCAGAAACCGCTCTAAGACTGGCTATGAGTCAAGCGTTGCCACAACTTAACCAACAAGACGCAACCGCAGCTGCGACTGCCGCAGCTGCTGCCGCTGCTGCAGCTCACAGTCCACTGAGGCACAACGGTAAGCATCAAATTAATGTTATAATTAGTAACATCAAGATTCCTATAGTTTATTCTACTTCTAAGCCCCATGCCTGACACGAAAAAGTAACAAGAAAACTTCAGCTTAAATACCCACAAATTTATACCAAAGTATCGCAGACAGATCAAAACATTTTGTCTCGAAACAAAAAGGTTTCTATCTGCTCTATTTATCATTGTCTGTCAGAGCGGTCCGTAGGACCTTTGCTCTTGGCTAAAGTCTTGTAAGTCAGTAGGTCTGTCAGGTCTGGTTGCCCAGATACCAAACAAAGTCAGGGAGAAATAAGTGAAGAAGAAAAGAAGGAAGGAGGGAGAGCAAAGGAAAAAGAAAAGCGTCAATTTGAGGGGTGCCTTGGCATTGCAAATTAGTATTTGGCAATTTTAAATTGATCCTAAAATTAATTTTGAGGTTAGTTGCTGGAGAAAAATTATAATTTTGGTTGGACCTAAAGTCGCACGATTTAATTTTCTTCACGTTGCGAGTCGCGGCCTTGTGTGCTTGCGAACTTGCTCGATTGGGTAGTCTACTGACCCGCGCAACAAAGGGTTGCTATGCGATTCCGCTTGACTATAACGTAGCTGCGCTTTTTGTTTGATGTAGTCCCTTAGGTAAGGGATGTCAGGCTTCGCAAATGCGTTTTGGCGAGAAAACACCAAGCCGCACTTGCGTCTAATAGCCATCTTGTATAGCCGAACTTTGTTGATCAAACTTATTTTTGATGTTCTACATAGCGTAGGGTAGAGTTGCCGAAATGAGATTTGGAATTTCGCTTCAGTGTGCTTCTGTCAGACGGGGCGCCGCTACGTTTTTTAGTACAATAGATTGCCTGCGTTTTCGAATGATTAATTTTGATCAGCCACCGATTCGCCCATTCCAATACCTCGTCCACAGCACTTTGCAGCCTGTCGTGAACTAGATCCCCAGAACACGACTGGGCCACCAGGGCAGTGTCATCAGCATAGAGATAGATTTCACAGTTGCTGGGGCAAGCGACGTCATGAATAAAAAGTGAATAAAGGACTGGTCCAAGAACCGAACCCTGAAAGACACCGGCTTTGATGGGCCGTGTTGTCGACAGAACCTTATTAATTTTGATCCTAAATTTCCTACCTTCGAAGAAGCATTTCAAAAATTTTAGGAGCCAGAAGGGGAAGCCCTTATGGATCAATTTGTAGAGAAGGCCCTTGTGCCACACCCTGTCAAATGCCTTTGAGACATCCAGAAGCAAGATGCCAGTACTTTCGTCACGGGTGAACCTTTTCAGCGAGCTTAGAAGGAGCTGACAGTAGATTATTGCCACGAGATAAGTTAAGGACTTCCGCGAAAGTAGCTTCAGCGCCTTATTAGTGATTCGATCCTCTCCAAGTGCTTTACGCACCTTGAGGTCTTTAATATGACCTTGAAGCTCTGCGGAGTCTCAGGAGATTCCGCTGATGTGAAATGGAGCTCTTTAGTTGAGGAATCTTCTGATAAAGTCGCTCCATTGCTAATTACGGAATTCATGGACAGCATTTCTCCCTTCATGAACAAGATTCGCTGCTCTGCGAATGTCATCTGGGTGATTCTATCTGCTTTGGCTACTTGCATCCCCGCACAAAGGTCTGAATGTTTCTGATTCAACAACTTTTCTGTGAACAATGTTTCTTTTACTTCTGATTGAAAGGTGACTCCATTTTTTCGGCCAAATTCTTCCAATATCATAAAATTAATCTCTTCCAACATTTTATGTTAATAGAACCGGTGACAAGTACGAGGTCTGTAAATGAAGTGGTGAGACTGATTGTTTTTAATTTTTGCATTACAATTTTATATTGCCTTTTAAATTTGACTCACAAATTTAACTCTTCCCCGTATATTGTGACTGTCAACCGACGACATGAACGTACAAGATCCCGGATTCTATCGTTACTTTCGTCGGTTTCTGAAGGTGAAGGCCTTCCGCTTCGTGGTTCATCTTCAATCAAAAAACATGGACTCTTGACGAAACACTATCTCGGGAGGACTGCTGAAGTTTCGCAAGAGTTTTCTGCCCAAGTCTGAAGCAAAACCATAGCACAAGGTTACTCGAAATTGATGTGATTCAGTTTTAGAACTTAATGTTTCACAAAAAAATCGCTACCCACAACCAGATATCTCGAGCGAGTTCAAACTTGTACTTAAAGCGCCCCTGCCCCCCCTCCAAGTCCGGCGCTCCCAGTGTTGCTAGATCAAACGCTACGTTGCCAATCTCATCACTTAATTTACAGACCGCGTATGCCACAAGAAAACAAAACAATTGAGCGCTCGTCTGTTCGAGACCTTTTGCCCCAAAACGTGATTCAAATATCTAAACGCTGCGAAGTATTTTGCATTGCCTCAAGGCAATGTTTCAACTAGTGTGCAATGCCTCGTAAGGATGCGTTGTTTAGGCTTCGCCTCCAACAAGGTGAAACTTTTCGCAGCGTTTGAAAGAACATGTTTCGATCTACCTGCATTCGGCCTAAAGGCAACCAGTGACCATTTTATGATTACACTGATAAACATAGGATTTGTGACATGACGATTTTTGGGTGTATCTTATGTATCTTGAGACCCTTAAATCAAATCTAAAAACAGAATTTTTCTATCACCCACAGATATTCGGTGACATCTACTTTTATGAATTATAATACGTAACATCTCATATTGCTGCATTTCTCGGCGTTTATGCGTTGACGCACATATATAATGTTAAGACCTGTCTATTCCTGTTTATTATATGTGAGTTCTATATTTAGAGAGCATATTGCATTTATTAGTAGACTCATAGCAGCCGAGTCAGTTACGTTTTCTGTGTTGAAGAGTACTGAGATGTTCTGAGTACTGTTAATTTTTGTTAAAACGGTGTGTTGTTTTTAGTTTATTGTGATCGAGACTAGCTTTATGGACAATGCCTAGAAATTGTGTAAATAGTACGAGCAGTTTTTGTTATGTGTACGGAGAGCTAGCTTTTCAACCCCAAAAACGTACTTTTACTCCTCTTGTGTTGAAAGCATACGAACTTTATTTTAGAATTAAAGTTGGCGACCAAGATAAACTATGGGCCCCTCATATATATGTATGTTGTAAGAGTTGTGTAACGTTATTAACAGGTTGGTTAAGTGGCGACAATCGTAAAATGCCCTTTGCGGTACCAATGGTTTGGAGAGAACCGAGAGACCATACTACTGATTGTTATTTCTGCCTCACAAATATTAAAGGTATTGGACCAAAATCGAAACATACTGTTAAGTATTTTAATTTACCATCAGCTTTGCGGCCCGTTAAGCATAGTGATGAACTTTCTGTCCCAGCTCCACCAGAATCTTGGTCTTTGGATGAAAAAGTCGAATCCACTGATTCTGAAAGTGATGGTACAGAAAGCGTAATAATTTCCGATCCTTCGTTTGACCTGCCAGGATGTTCAACAGCGCCGCATTTGACCACACAGGGCGAACTTAATGACTTAGTTCGAGAATTAAATCTGTCAAAATCTCAGTCAGAACTATTAGCTTCAAGATTAAAAGGATGGAATCTTCTCCACGGTGATATTAACATTACTTTTTACCGAAAACGGTAACAAGACCTCGCACACTGTTTTAGTCAAGAAAGGGAGTTGATATATTGCTCCGATGTCAACAATTTGTTTGACGCGTTAGGGCAGAAACATGATCCAAATGGTTGGCGCCTGTTCACTGATTCCTCTAAGCTTAGTTTAAAAGCGGTATTGGTACACAACGGTAATAAATATCCATCTGTACCTAGAGCGCACGCAGTTGATATGAAGCAATCATATGAAAATATGCGAGTTCTGTTAGAGCATATCCGTTATAATGAATATGGATGGGCCATATGTGCAGATTTGAAGGTAATAGCCCTTCTTCTTGAAATGGAACTGGGATATACCAAATATTGTTGTTTTCTTTGTGAATGGGACAGTCGTGCGCGAGATCGTCATTATGAACAGGAGTGGCCACTACGTCAGGTATTAACTCGGGGCCTCAAAAACATTGCTCATCAACCACTAGTTGATCCCAAAAACGTGTTGCTTCCACCTTTGCATATTAAGTTGGGACTGATTTTGTGAAAGCTATGGATCGAGGCAGAAGAGGGCTTCTGCATTTAAAACAAGCATTTCCGAGACTTAGTGAGGCAAAAATTAAAGAGGTCATATTTTTGGGTCCACAAATACGGAAAATCATAAAGGACGATGTATTTGACAGTGATCTAAATGAAACTGAATTACGAGCTTGGAATGCTTTTAAATCAGTTACTGCAAATTTAGGCAATGTGAAGGCGGACAATTATAAAGATATTGTGAGTGAATTAATTAATGCTTATAAAGGAATGTTAACATGTCTGTGAAAATTCCCTTTTTGGATTCTCCGATTTTCCGGAAAATTTAGATGCGGTAAGTGATGAACATGGTGAACGGTTCCACCAAGACATTTCTGATATGGAAAAATGGTCTCAAGGCACAAATGGACTGTCAATTTGCTTGCCGATTATTGCTGGACATTGTTAAGAGATACTTCAGGAGCAACATATCGCCGTGAAACATCGACAACAACATTCTGAGATTAATGTTTATTCGAGTGTTTATTAGTACTCTTACTCACATATCCTTATATATTACGAGTATGAGCAACAAATAAAATGCCTTATTGCAAGAAAACCATGGGTGATAGAAAAAATCGAATACTATTTCCTGCTTTTTGGGTACGTCTTACATAATAACCACCTTGTTTTGTCCATGTCACAAGAAATTATTTTTATTTTGTTCACCAGTGTGTCAACATTTATAGTGATGTCAAAATCCTTCATATACCATTTTGTAATGCATTAAAAGGAAGACTTGATGGTTCAAAATTGTACAATACTGATACCAAACTTGTATAACCATGGTCCTCAATGACTGTTATTGTACCCCAGATAAATATTATACTACAAGAGAAAAGGAGTAGCAACATAAAAACCTTTTTAAGCCCTTCTTACTCATTCTTCCACACCTGAAAGCATAAGGTACCAAACTGTTAGTCCCCCATTCTAGTGAAGATACAGCTCTATAAAGCATTGAATGATCCATTCAAATACACGATTTGCCAGTCAAACTGAAACGAAAAATTGAACTTAGCAAGGACGGATTGATAAAACAGGGTATTTGTTATTGCAGGTAACTATCAGGGCCACCAAGGGCAATCCTCGCAACAACTGAGTCCTGACATTACAGAGGCTCTAAGGATACAAGAGCAGAGGTTAGAACAGGTTATGAGGTTACATGGTAGTGATCCACGATCTCTAGGCTTTTCGCTGTCAAGTCAACAACAAAATCAACAACCATGAAACTTTAGCTATTACTGAACGCATAGTACGTAAGAAATCGTTAAAACTGTTATTTTTCATGTGAAATAGCAAACAGGACATAAAAAGACACTTGAAAATCAGCTACAACTGCTGCTAGCTGAAATGACTACGTTTCTAAGATGAATAACATGTCAAGCTTTAAGGTACTACCTAAACCATACTCCAAATAAGCATACTATTAGGCAATAACAGGATTTTTGATTTCCGGACTGTTTACTCAAGGAATATTTTAACAGAAAATACTTATTAGAATATGGTTTTGAATATCAGTCGTCTCAGCTAACAGCTGTTGTATATTTACTTCGCCATTTTTAATTATTTTTAGAAGATAGATTTCTTTACAGAACAAACTGGTGCTTTATGTCATTATATAAAATACTGCTACTCAAGTTTATTTTGTGCATTTAAATGAGTACAAATTCAAAGTTTAGAGCCTAACAATAGAGGAAATGCTGCAAGAACCTGACGTAGTGCTTACAATTAGTTGACAACAAAATACAGTTATTTCAGACGAGTTGACGTTACTGTACTACGAATTTTTGAAATGGCAATATTTTTAAGATACATCTATCATATACAAGCTGGAATAATAGGAGATGTACATATATTCTCAAGAAGACCTTTATATATAATGAATCACTAGATTCTCAGGAAGAACAACATTTTGATCTTACTATTTACAAATACAATCAGCATTGCAGAGAAGGAACTTCTTTGCAACTAAATTTGGTTAGCATCAACTCTGGAGGCAGGAGGCAGTTCAAGAAAAATTCAGTTAGTCCAACCACAATATCAGAGAATTTCTTTGGTCTGCAAATGATTCAACCAAATAGCCTTGAGAAGTCATACTTATATGAACGAAAATAACAATCCATCCAAATTTTGATTTTGGGCCAGTTATGATAGGGGCAGTTCAACGACCGTTTATAAGATTAATGATAAAATTGAACCTAGCAAATTCACAGCATCTTAAACCGCAAAAAATATCAGTCTAATCATTAGCAAATTTGTAAAGTCTCGTTTTATTGGTGCAAGTTGTTCAAGGGAGTATTCAAAACATGGACTCATGAAATGGGTACACCAATTTTTGTGGTAAATGTGGTAAATTGTTGTACCAATTTTATGCGTCCATGTTTTAAATACCCCTTTGAACAACTTGCAGCAATAAAACCAGAGTTTACAATTATCGCTAACCAGGGGTATTTTCGTCTAATATGATTAGACTGTATGGAAATTTAAATTCTGGATCTTGTAAAAAGCTGAAATGTATCACGCGATAATCGAAATTTACAAAACAAAAAAGTCTTAGCGAGTGTCTACACAGGATAGACATATCTAATAAACCCTAAAATCAGGTACCTTCAATCGGCGTGTGAAAAAATAAGCCATAAGCCCTAAGAGTGATAAAAACAGGGAGATATAAGATAATATAGGATCATAACTACGGATGGCCCTTCTTGACCCAGAATCAATGAAACTGGAGATAAATTTTGTACCTTAAACGATGAGGAAAACCAATATACGAAAGACTGACTATCAATTGGTGTGATCTATTATTCATTAATATACCCGATCTTTTTTATATGCTATGAAAACTATATGCTGTGTTCAGAACGCTGCATATACCTGTAATATTTATATGAACTGTTGAATACTGAATAAGAAAGAATACATACTTTGGCACAGTAATAGCTCAGTGCCGTAAAAGCTCGATAAAAACCTGAGTCACATTTGCCAGTTATGTTGACTTCGCTCGTTGATATATGAAAAATCTAAAATTTGCCCGAAAAACTTTCTAAAAACATCGTTGGAATCAATAAATTCCTATTCGCCAGCAACATGGTTGAATGTGACTCAAACTTTTAATCGTGCTGTGAAAGAAATAACAATATATATAACATCTTATAACCTCCTTCACAAAAAAACTACCATCGCTGAAATGCCAAATTTGGCAAATCGAACGACAAGAGTAGGTTCAAAAGTATAACGTTTTAAAATATCGTGACAATCGGTTTCGTCACCAAATTGCAAAGCATTAACCACTTTTTGGAGAAAACATATTCATATAAATATAATCTAGTCAGATTATCGTTATTACACCGTACTGAAAATGCATTAGTCTATACTGTTTGGTTGGGAAACCAACTTGCGTTTGTTGAAACATCAGTAATATCAGCTCTGTTGGAATAACTTCATCTATTCGGTTCTAGCGTTTCCTCTATCACGCTGTCCACAACAGAATGTTTGCAAATTTGAAAAATGTTATTCTTCTTCACATCGATCCCATAAGAATGACGTTAGGAATACGAAATTTGTAAAATGTACATGACGGCGTATTAAAAGCTTACTAGATTCATGGTAGCCAAAACACAATACCGAGTAAAGTTGAATATTTCGAAGGCAGGTTTGGATATTAAAATTGGTCCATTCTCACAAATATATGTTTGAAAATCTATAATCCAGTAATAATCGGTATATCCATCAAAATCACTATTCACGTTTTTATATTTTCAGCATTTACAAAAAAAAAACATTCTGTTGATGAGCATATCTATTCTGTAATGATTTATGATGAAAAATGTGCCAAATCATTTTGGTTCTATTACGTTTATTGCGCTCAGTATGTTTTAACAATGGCTAGGCCATAATTTTAATTATTGATGCACTTTAAAAGTGCCCCACTACAAAAATCATAAACAATGTATAGATATAAGTGTTATAGAAGTACCTAAATATGGACATTTGGGTATTTCAAAACTACTTAAAGTTAGGTTGTACATAAAAGTAACTAATTGTTTCTAGAGTATACTATGTATGAATGATATATAGAGAAATTGCAAAACAATTTTTTAAACGAAGAAAAAATATCGTAACCAGTTGAAAAAGAATATATTTTTTGTTTTTTTCTTTTTTGTTTTTACTTTACTGTGATTTTTTATATATTTTGGCCGGTTTAATGTAATAAATAGCAATAACGTAATCTTCTTTTGCAATGTGTACTGTGATTTTATGATATAAAACTTATAATTTTGTTTTATATTTATAAGAAAAAAATCGGCTTTAATTTTATACCTATTTTAAAAAAGTACAAATACTTAACAGTTGTAATGAAAAAACAGCAAATCCAAATTGCATTTTGCGTTGATTTTGTATAAATGAGGGTGTGAGTGAGATTCAAACAACAGTTTGTATATTTTTCACAAATTTTAAAGACAAAAACCGTACTTAATTTCGTTCCAACCATTCTTGCGTTTCTGGACAATTTATGAAAAATGTGGTTTTATACTTTGTACATAATTTAAAGTAAGAGCCTCTGTACATAAGCATCCCCCAACTTTTTTTGGGAATGATTCGAAAAGTTCCAGAAGATTATCACCAAATGTTTTGACATCAAAAATCGGCGATTAGATCGAAGTTCATTTGCATTTTTGTCTGGGAAGCGAAAATTACTGATATCATCAGAAAAGGTTACTCGAGTTTAATTTAAAAAAAAAATCGTTCCGAATATTCCCCGGAATATCGAAACATCTATTTGTAGATCGCAATGCATTTCGTATCCATAAAAAAGAATTGCCTCCTAAAATATCTCAGATACAAATGCTATATTCTATTTCAAAAAATATCCCTTTACACTTTTAGCTATTTGAAACATGACTTTTCGAGCTCATTTCCAAAAAAATATCTTGTTCCACAATTATCAATAGCCATATATAGTCAATAGTTGCTAAAGTATTACAATAGTAAACGGTATTTGTGCCGTACTTCCCCAAAAAGTGACACACCAAAGACATTTTACACACACTAATCCATAAATGTGTAAAATTTCGTTACAGATGCATAAAAGTTTTGTTCGTTATAACACCCCCAATGGAATTGAGTTCAAAATTATCTCAAAATTTATATTTTAGAAGACATAACGAAAAAACGTATTTTGCGGATAAATTTTAGACGAATATCTGACTCCGAGCGATCTTAGGAGGTGCCACATTCCGGGACGCAAAAAATATATCAGGCAAATCGTTTTTTGAATGTGATACTTGAGTTATATCAGCGCATAATTTCGAACTGTAAAAGGCATCTCGAAGTAAAGGTACAGAATGGCTTTTGTATCATATTAAAAAGCAGTAAAAAAAAATTTGGCATAAATTTTTGACTTCCTAGGATTGCTCGTATTTTCTGGGTGTGAATTTTTGGCAGGTTCCTCAATCGGGCTGCTTAGTCGCTTGGGTGAACTTGTCATCTTTTATGCAGCAATTGCCCAAATATGACGTCGCAGCATTTCAGCTGCGTAATTAATATTTTACCCGGACTTGACACAGAGAATATGTAAAAATACAATAAAAAAGTGAAATAGCCCGGTTGCACTAAGTGCTTCAAAATATTTTGCCCACTATAATTACCCATAGGTAATTATCACATTGAAAAATTTTACAATAGCCCAATCAAAAGTTGATTTTGAAAAAATTCTCGCATTATTCTGGATCTCGGTGCGTTTTTATTTTCAAAAACAATTATTGAATTCAACATTTTAGTAACCCCGAAGTAGGCGGATTCTCGTTGCAGGCTCCGCTTGCCTTTTAGTGTATTTTACATAAATATTAAAGTCTAACTGCCCGAATGGACAAATATTTATTGTAAAATTACCAAAAAAAAGTTTTTTTTGCAATAGCCCACAATACATGTGCGACTTCCGCACGCCAGTTTTCAATTTATAACCATAATAAGTTGCGACTTTAGTTCAAAGTTTTTTGAGCTGGTTTTCTTGCAAATGCGCGTCCGAACGAGACCCAAAAAAAATGCTCTAGATGTGCTCCCCCCAGTGCAGTGCGTTTTAAGATCTAGAAATCTTACGTGCTACCTCAAAACCAGAACGAACTGCTCGAAGTATTTTTCTAATTTTGGGACGTAATGAATACATTTTTGTCTTCACTGTAAGTCGTTTTTAAAATATAAATTGCCTATTTGAAAGTAGACTGCTTATCAGAAACAAAATTGTTAGTTATTTATGTAATAACTATAGTTACCGGATTAGAATAAAGAGTTACTAAAGCCATTGGCGTCTTCAAAAAAATGTTCCTAGAAATTGCTCAGTCAAGTTTAATCGACTCTTGCGTTATTGAGGTAGCCGATAAGATTTTAAAGTCTATCACTTATGTATTAGCTGTGTAACCTTCACGTTAAATGTCATATTAAACAGATTTTCGAAATTATAATTAATACGGTGCCAAATTTGCATGCTACGAGTAATAGAAAAAAGTATTTTTTTAGAAAATTTAAAAATACAACGCAAAATTTGACAGGTCAAATTAAGTAAAATATTTAAAATTTGAGATGAGTAAAATTAAATATAAATGTGTTCAATCAATAAGTTATACAGCTCGTTCTCAAAATGTAATAAAAATTCTAGAACCCATGTGAAAAACTTCAAGAGGAGTGTCTAAAAACGCATTACTTCTTCGACTGTGGTCTGGCAAAAGATAGAAGAAAATCAATTTTGTATCGAAATAATTTGGAAAATTTTTGCAAATCAAAAGCTCAAAATAAACTTGCTGATCCAAGTGGTATCAGTGAATATGGTAAAACAAATTCTGGTCTACTTTAAAAACAGAAATTTCAATTCTGGCAAAACAAAATGCTCGAAAACAAACACAGATATTTTGTTTATTAATATTGCGTTGTCAAAAATATATGTGTACCTTACATTTATAGTTTCCTCGCAGATATAGCAAGTCCTGATGTACCCCATAGCTTGTAGAGCAGATAAGCTAAAAAAGCTCCTCGGGCCGTTTGTGAGAAAACTGGTTCATTTAAATTTTCAGTTAAAATGCAATAGTCTAAACGCATGGGAAATCTCTTTCCTATGCTATACAAAAATTCAGATATACCACACTTCAGTTAGAGTTTTTTAGTAACTGATTTTTCGTGTAAATATTGGGCAGGGTTGTTAGTAACAGTCAGACCAATATTTAACGGCGAAGATGTTACATTTTACTTTTTTTACAATAAAATATTCAGATTTACAAATATCACATATGCACACATTTACACAAAATTTTTCGGAAAATTTTGTAAATACGACATTTTTCATTTTACACACACGAGAAAAATCGAGAATTTCAATCGGACGTTATTCTTATAATTTTTTTTTATTTCACTATAAGGCGTAGTTGGGAGTTCCGAAAATTCAAGATCTGACGCTACCACTTCATTGTTGTTTACTCAATAAAAAAATACATGCCACCCAAAAGCTCAATAATGGGCATCTGGATCACATAGTTATCTGATCTTGAAAAAGCGGAAATATCCGAACTATAGTCTTTCTCAAAAATTTCAAATTTTTCGGCGGGTGTTTTCTTTATGATTTTCCAAATTACACATATAAACACCTTTATATATATACAGTCTAAAGTCACTTTTGGGAGACACACACTTTTTGGCCTTACAATATAACAAAAAAACAGTTGGTAAAAATTCAGCATGATTCAATAAAACCACATAATATAATTAAATATTGTAGTTTACAATGAATGTTAGTTAAAATTGTTAAGTTACGTTACGTTTTTGTACACGTCATGTTAAATAAGTTCAAACTGACTGACAAGTAATTTTAAGACCTCCGATTTCGCTCCGCACAAATTATTGATATAGACCATTTACAGTCAATTCAGATATTATGGTTAAGAAGAGTCAAAATTTGCCAATTCAAAATTACCAAAGGTCATAGATATTGAAAATTTTAATATGTACTTTTTTATGGTTACAACCTTTTGAACTCATTAAAAATACGTAGTCTAGGTTTTTGCGTCTAGAAAATTGTAACAAACACATTCAAATTTACTATTAAAAGATTTGAAAAAATTATGAATGCGCAACTTAAAATTGTGGTGAACGCTACAACGATAATACTATGCTAAGAGGCACATCATTCGGTAATAATTAAAATTATTCTGGCTTAAAAGTCAAAATTGTCACATAATGAAGTTTCGTGTCCATATTAAAAACGTAGGAAAATGAAGTTTTTCACATTTCTAAGTCGCAAAACCCAACCTTTGACAACGATTCTTTCATGTATAAGAAGTTAAACCTTGGCATAGGAAGCAACATCCTACTTCGATGAATATTTGCAAAATTCCCGGTCTGTATCACAGCAACCTTGCAACTTTCGAAAATACCGAAATTCCGATGTATTACAATAAATAAAAATTGACGGTTCGCCAGCTTTTTTGCCATAATAACTGCACTAGAACGGTATAGATAAGTGTTGTTTTATTGTTAAATGATGTAGTTCAATAGTGTTAACAGATATACAAGTTTTTTATGTTAGTTTCTCTCAGTCTGCCGAAACGTCAATATCGCATAAAAGGTCTTAAGATTACTCAAATTGAAAATATGCCATCATCACCGGTGCTAGAAAACGTCTTTAATACGTATAATAATGATCTCTCACTGATCTACATCAACGCTAATAATTTACTCTTACTCTTTACTGTCACCCTTATCGTCATTTGATCATAAACTTAAAGAGTGTGCTCCAAAAAAATGTATACTTTCGTACATTCATACTGCAACCCTAATTCGAAAGACGCAGCATATTTTCAGAAATGTTAGGCGACAGTTTGATGCTCCAGTTTTCGGAAACTACAGGTGATGTTGGTATGATTTTCAGTTTTCACTCATCTCATGTGTGTAAACTTAACAGTAATATTTAAACATTATGAACATATTATTTACCTGTTCATTTACAATAGTTATGTTTAATATGCTTGTGCTATACAATAACACTACGTATTTTTTGCCGGAAAAAATCCTCCTTTAAGACTTGTACGATTTCCTGTACTTCACATTTTCCGATTGACGATTGCAAATCAGCTGCTATGGATTTTTTTTATAGGAAACGTACAATGTTGTTGGCTAATCCTTTTTAGTTATTACATGTGAATGTATCTACAGTGTTTTTCATTTAATACTATTTATTGTTTACCTTATATATTGTATACGTTATTATAGTGAAATTTATTTGATGTTTAAAAATTTACAATACCGTACGATACTTTCATATTAATATATTTTTACTAACTTTGTAAGAAAATTTCAAAACAGCGAAAAACTTGAAGCTGTATTATACATATGTTTCGTGTTTTGAGTTTTCTGTTTTAAATAATGTTTTAGATTTAAGAGTTTGTATGTTATAGTTTTTTTAAATGTTTTTGCCATTTTTTATTTAAATTGACTGCCATTTAATTCTTAACTTATACTTGCTTTTGTAGTTAATTTTTAAGTTCCTATATTATACATTTTTTGTAACTGTAGAGACATCGCAGACTTCTTTTGGTATGAAAGACTGCATGAAAGGGAAGAAAATCTTTCAGATATTATTCTTATATGAAAATTCACCATTTTGGCAGTATTATTTAACAAAAAAATTGTAAAGAAATGAATAATTATTTATGAGAAAATTCATTTTGGAAAACTGTTTAACAGATACGAAATTTGTGTATTAGAGCTAAATCTAAAATAAATAATTGTTTGTTTCTATATTGTAATATGAAAAATTAGGTTTAGAAATGAATTATCTGTGAAATTCAAGGCATTAATATAAAATCTAAAATAATTTGTAAAATATAGAATAAAAATTGTGGATTTAGAAAAAATTGTTGCAATGTTTTTGTTTTATTCAAAATAAAATTGATGTATGAAATGTATGTGTGACATGTAATAATTCTATTTACTGGAAATAGCAAACATTAAAAATTACTAATCTAGTTTCATTTGAAACCCTGTTTCCATTAGCGGTGCTTTATACTGGATGGATCGGTGCGAAGGCAGAGTCTGGTATAAAGGAGATCGACAAACAATAGGGAGTTTTCGCATAACGCTTAGAGAAGCGACGTATGCGCAAACGCTATCCGGTAAAGCACATTACGTATAATACGTAATGTTAATCGGTTGTGGATACTTTTCGCAACAGCGTGAGAAATAACGTGGACATAACCTTAAATTTGTGACCTTAAATCTGTACCCTACAACCTCAATTCTTTGGTTGTAAAGGTGTCTTTGACGAAATGGATGTACAAGAACTTCTTGATTTGCCGCTATAGGGACAGTGAACAACGAGGAATTGGAGACTGGGATTTTGCACAGCATTCTCAACAGACAAGTTTCCCGTTCGCTTGACTTCTTTCGCTGTACACATAATACAAACTTTATGAATAAAAATGAAAACCACAGGCCAACCGATTTTTTCAAATTAAGAAAATCCACCCATTAGCGGCACCTAACCTCAAATCATAACGATCATCGCCCGATTGGTTCCGGGTACCCACGAAACGATCATATACCGCCTCGCACTAAGTGTTCTCAAATTACGCTAGGCGGTAACGTAATTAGTGCCCGCTATCATGAAACCCAAAACTGAGCATGTCAAAATAACGCGCCTAGAAAATACCGCAGCACGTTAAGTGGCATGCGAAAACTCCCTATTATTAAACACTCCGTTTATTCGACTTTTGTTCGACCTAAAGGTTAGAGAAGCTAGGAATACATTTTCGTGATTGAAGATAAAATTCTTGCGCATTATTAATCTCAAGTACAACTCACTTGAGGGACAGTCGGTTGGGTAGAAATCCTTGGTGGAATTAGTTGAGGACTTAACCCTTTCGTCCCGAACGGTACCCATATGTAGCAGGCAAATTTAAAAATTCCTGCTTGTGAAATGAAGCATTTTATTTGGTAGATATAAATCTGTACCGGTCCGGTGTATCAGGCTTCCGCAGTGTACCTACAACATGCATTGTGGTTATTTTGTGATTATGTCGATTTAGTTAGCACGTGTATGTAGTAGCGGCAGTATTACTCTAATAAAATTAGTTATTTAGGACACTCAAAGTGCTTATTTATGCAGTTTTTTGATGAAGTTCTATTTGCTATTCAACTGTAATGAGTGTTTTTACAAAGGTAGGTCAAAACTATGTTTTATTTTTGTGTTTTTGCGTGTAATATTCGTGTGGTACATATATGTACCATCCGGTATTTATGGTGGTACACATGTATACCAACAGGTCTCTAATTACGTTTATTCAGTTTTAGCTTCAATATGGATCGCCGCCATCCGCTTGCACAAAAAAAGCTGGAAGCGCTTATTGAAGATATTGAAGAAATCTCTGATTCGGAACCATTTTCTGCTGAATCCAGTGACAATTATGAACCAGATTCCGATGAAGAAGCAGGCAGTGATACGTCCGAGAAGTCTAACTCAGACATCCATTTTGCGCCTTCACCACAGGTAACTGTTGGTAGAAACCAAGTTCTTGACTGGGTCATTCCTGATGAAACATTTGAGACTGCTAAAATCCTTCCTCCTGAAAGAGAATGTAAGCTGGCTCCCGATATCACAAAGCAGTTGACACCTATGCAGATTTTTCATAAAGTATTTCCTCATTCTCTTTATTTGCACATTGCAAATTGTACAAATGAACGCCTAAAAATCATAAACCAATTAAAAAGGAGGAATGAGAACATGACTGACAAAGGAGAAATACAGAAGTTAATTGGCTGCATGTTCATTATGTGCTACAATCGCCTTCCAAGCCTGAAAAATTATTGGAGTAAAAAGGAGTCAATGGAAAATAGCACAATTCAAAAAACTTTTTCAAGAGATCGATACATGACTTTGAGCTCAAAAATGTACTTTGCTTCTCCTCAGAAACCCCCAAATGCTTCAAAAACATATTATATTGAAGATTTGTTATCTTGTTTCAAATACACGTTTACAAAGTGTTGCCAGGATAGCCAGTATCAAAGTATTGACGAATCTGTGACCAAATTCATCGATATTCTTTGAATCAATATATGCCCTTCAAACCACCCAAGAGGGGCATAAAACTATGGCTTCGCTGCGATGCAGATTCGGGCTATACGTATGATGTTGATGAATATTCTGGAAAAGAGGACCCAATTCCCGCCAAAAAACAATCACTAACTCTGGGAGAGCGAGTCGTAAAAGCCCTTGCGTCTACAGTCAAAGAAAATAATGTAGTGTTATGTTTTGATCGCTTTTTTTACAAGTGTGAATTTGTTACTTACAGTAGACTATGCAGCCTTGGGAACTTACATGTCCAATCGCAAGAACGTACCAACTATGGGAGACAAGCTGCAAAAAGGGGACTCTCAATTCAGATGCACTTCTTCGGGATTACTTTATGTAAAGTGGCAGGACACAATGGAAGTTTTGCTGATGAGTAACTGTCATAAGCCCAATGTGACAACAATTATCAAAAAAAGCAAAACCGGCGAACAACAAAATATCCAATGTCCAGAGGCCATATCTTTTTACAGAAAAAAAATGCAAGGGGTTGATCGGGCAGATCAATTCATTTATGTTGTATCAAATAGTTATTTAGGTTCATTTTCCTCTTTGCAAAGCTGTTTTTGTATTTTTTTCTAAATAAATGTTCTTATACCATTGTTTTTTCTGTTTTTATGAATTTTCCGATCATACCTGTTGGTACGCATGTGTACCACCATAAATACCTGCTGGTACATATATGAACCACCCCCTCTACCGTTAACTGACCAATGAAAAAAATATATATTGATAAAAACTCATTGTAAGACATCCTAACAATAATATTTTACACTATTTATTATTTGGACTAAGGTATTTGAATTCAGGGACGAAAGGGTTAAAGGCCTATTCATACTCATCCGTGACGTGACAGTGCTGTGACCGGCACGTGACCCGCTCGGTGAAACTAAAAAGATTCTTCCTGAAATTTGGATGAACTGATTCAGACTCAACCGGCACGTGGAAGTGGCCGGGTTCTCAGTGCCCTCGACGACGCCGTACCGTGATCATCGCATGGTTTTGGAACGATATTTTTCGATTTTCACGGCCGTGTTTTTATGTAATTTCGTGAATGTTTTGATATACAGGGTGTAAACGTTATGATAGTCATTATTTAAATGGGTGATAGAGGAAGTTAAAATAAGCAAAAGGTTTCATATAACATGGGGGTCAAAACGGCATTTTTTTTAGAGAAAAGCAACTTTAATTAAAATAAAATCTGACAACGCGGCAATACCAAACGCAAATTATGACGGAAGGCAGTGAAAATAAATATGGAGTTTGTTATCTTAGGTATTATTTCATTATTTGATAATGTACTCGTAAAATGCAAACAATTAAAAAACGGACTTGCCATTAACTGTCTCACCGCTTCACCTGGTATGTCAAAGTTTATTGAACGTATTAAAAAAATCCACTTATAAATACGGAACACACTGCACTTTTTTGTATTTAAAGAAGGTGTTCAAAATGTCGTCCTCCACTTTCCACACAAGCTTCATTACGACGAACCCAGTTTCGCGAAGTTGTGATTCAGTTGTTATTGGACCAGCCCCATAAACCGTCCCTTTAAGTTCTCCCCAATACCAGAAATCCCTCGGACTGAGGTCAGAAGATCTTGCTGGCCATTTTCGAGGATCAGGAGCATTTCGACCGATCCAGCGATTTGGATAATGTTCATTCAAATACTGAATGACGCCTCAAAAACGTGTGGTGGTGACCCGTCATGAAGAAACCACAAATTCTGTCTCCGTTGTAATGGCATGTTGCCTAAGGTCTGTTCCAAAAGTTCTGGTAGGTTATTGGCTAGAAAGCTAAGGTATCCTTTCTTGACAGCTTTGGGGGTAACTCGAAAGGGCCATTACCTGATCGTCAAGAATACCCGCCCAAATATTTATTTTAAAACGTTATGGAAATGACCTTCACGAATGGTATGAGGATTTTCTTGGGCCCCATGTGTGATTATTATGGAAATTTAATATCCCGTCTCGCGTAAAAGTACATTCGTCCGTCGCTAGAATGTTTTTAAAACAATCCGTATTTTCAATGTTTTTGTGCAAAAACCACTGACAGAATGTTAGTCTGCGAGGATAGTCTTCTGGTAACAAGGCATGCACTCATTGTACATGGTAGGCATAAAGCAAATTTTCCCGTAGGATTATATGGACTATGGTATGCGATAGTCCTACGCGGCGGCCTAATTCCCGAATGCTGATATCTGCATTGATTTCCACGATATTTAAAATTTCTTCCTCCTGCTCTACAGTAACATGTCTTTCACGAGTGCGAATATTAGTGGGCTGAACACTTCCTGTATCTCGAAGTCTTTGGTACACTTGCACAAATGACCTTCTGTCTGGGTGTACCCGTTGGCGAAATCTGTCGCGATAAATTTGAGCTGAAAGATTTAAATTATGACGAGCTTCACCGAAAACTAACAACATGTCGGCAAATTCTTAATTCGAGAGCATTGTAAATAAACACGACGACGTACGCGAACAAAAACAAAACAACACGCCCGATGCCCGATAACTAACCACTGGTACCGTTTGCGATTGATTGCCGGTTAGATAAGAGTGATGAAAGGCCGACGCGCTTTTGTCATGTGTATTTTAAACATTTAATTTAATGAAACTTACTCACTTACTGACTACAAATTTTGACTTAACTTACAAAAACGTAATGCCATTTATTTGTTAATCACCCAATTTGAAAAAGTTTTAGATTAGATTATAAAAATTAGTAAGCTTGTGGTGATTGTGGTCGATATAAATCACTTAAAGTTGTAAACTATAAAGCCATTCAGACAAAAATCTATTGACATTTGGACCATGGGTCATATAAACTTTTTGACTTGTTTTGACCACCCTTATTACCCATTTCAATAATGACTACCATAACGTTTACACCCTGTATTTGGTCAAGAACATGAATGATGCTGTAGAACCAGTCAAATTCAAAATACATGGTCTTCCGTTTTATTCTCATTTGTTCTTCTTCAAATTTTGCCATCTGGACCTCACGTGAACACAACTGCACTGCACGGAGAAAAGTACTGACCGGTGTGAATTGAAAACACTGTGAGCTCACATCAGCGAGAATCCGAGAATCGCTGCCACGTTACGGCACTATCACGTCACGGCTGAGTGTGAATGGACCTTAACTCGCAGCAAAAATACTGTTTATGAACGTACTATTAAACGAATTTGATTTTCAGTGGTTTTCACGCCTGTAACCAAAGATAAAATGATTGAAATTAACAAATGTTTAAAAAACAAAAAGAGTACCTAGTCGTGAAGTTGGGATATTTTTTTTTTTGTTTTTTAAAACCGAAGCAGCCGTGCAGGCAGTAAGTAGCCAGTGCACCGCGGCTGCTATGAGGAGCAAGATAAACTTTGTTAATCCGCTTTTTAAACTTCCTGAGGTTAGTAGAACTGGGAAAATCATCATATAGATTGTTCTAGTACAAAGGAGCGATCGTACCGCCCAGTTCTGAATGTACGAAGGGAGGTTAAGATGGGCGTCCGAAGTACAGCACCCTAAACATGTGAGCAGTGCTCGAGACTGGCTCTCATCTCTGCCCATCTGGTACAGAGTGAGGAGGTCATGTGGAGAAAAGCCCTGCACAAATAGCCTAGCTTTTTCCCAGCAGCTGCCGCTCTTAACGAGATGTGTTTGTACCAGATCAAGTCCTTGGTGATCTAGAGTCCGACCTGCCGACGGCACTTTGGTAGAACTTGGCCATCCGTCAAAACTGGATGATCGCTAGTACACATTTTGTTCGTCAAGGTACAGTACTGTGTTTTGGAAGCATGAAACTGTGCAAGATTGTTGCGTCCCAAGCAGTGATACACTCCTGAGTTCCTGCATGTAGAGTGATGTCATCAGCAAAGCTGTGGATTGGATTGATCGTACAGGAACAAAGATCGTTGATATGTGAGAGCAGTAGCATAATTTTAAAAAAAATGTATTGATTACATTGTAGATCCATTCGTTTTCTTGATCAATAATTCACTAAAATATGCTATCTATCCTGATTAATTCAAAAAGCTCTTGCCATTAAAATTTACAAGAATAAAGGCATTTCATAAGCTTATCGTTTTTTTTCAAATATATTTGAGATGGTAATGGATAAGAAAATTTTTCAACTCTAAATTATCCGCTAAATGAAACTCAACATGGTTACACTAAAGGAAAATCAACTCTTACGGCTGCTAATCAGTTCATTCAGAATATTATAGTTGACTTAGACAAAATTAAGAGTGTACTGGTTATCTTTCTTCACTTTACAAAAGCATGTCCAAGCATAAATGGTATTTATTTACTAATTATATAGAGTAAATAAATATTACTCTTACACATATTACAAAAAATACATCCCTCATACTGTAAAAGTACCTAAGCCAGGGTCCAATGGCTGGTTCAACAAATCATGCACCACAGCTTGTCAGCAGAAGATCAACGCACACAGAACCTTCTTACAAAACGAAAACTCCAAGCCGACGTCGAGTCCAGAAACAAATATACTAAGTGACATATAAATCCGAACACCCAGTTTAAATGGTTTTATTTTAATAAAATTTTGTATAAGTACTTAATGAAGCATAATAAGTAAATGATAAAAATTTCAAAATGATTGCACTGCTTTAAAGCCCTTTGACCTTTAATAATGTGTGGATGCACCCTGATGTGCTACGCATTCTCCAACGCGCCTAGGCATGCTTCTGATCAGGTGGTCAATGTCCTCCTGTGGTATCTCATTCCAGGCAACCACCAACTCCTCTCGAAGTGCTTCTAGAGTCTGAGGAGGACGTTGCAAATTGAGCAATCTCCTACCCATCACATCCCACACGTGCTCAATTGGGGATAAGTCGGGAGATCTTGGTGGCCATGGTAACAATGTGACATCATTATGTTGAAAGAAGTCTATTGTGACTCTTGCAACATGTGGTCGGGTATTATCTTGTTGGAAAGTTGGATCTGCCAGGGTGTCAAGATAGGGTAAAAGATGGGGTTCTAGAACTTCGTGGATATAACGCTGCGCGTTCATATTACCTCTGATGAAGATTAAAGGTGACCTGGAACCATAAGCTATAGCACCCCAAACCATAACTCCAACAGTGTGATGAACATGTCTTTCAACAAAAAACTGTGTATTCCTCCTTTCACCACGTCGCCTTCTAACCCTGGCACGACCATCGTGCATGCCTAAACAAAATCGAGACTCGTCACTAAAGACAATACTGTTCCATTCCTGATCCCAGAGTGACCGTTGTCTGCACCACTCAAGGCGATTACGTCGGTGTTCTCGAGTTAAAGGGAGGACCCAGTGTGGCCGGTATGAAAACAAGCCAAAACTTCTCATTCGTCGGTAAACACTTCGCATGCCAATAGGTCTTCCGTGTTCTGCAAACCATTGATTTGCAATGGACCTGGTAGTGGAGAAACGGTCCCTTAAGGCCAATAATCTTAGGCGGCGATCTTCACGGTCTGTTGTTCTACAGAGGCGTCCAGTGCCCCTTGCTCTTTACGTACGGCCTTCTCGAAGCCATGCCTGACAACACCTAACCACAGTGTCTACATTCCTTTGCACTCTAACTGCAATTGCCCGAAAAGAAAGTCCAGCTTCCCGAAGTCCCACTATACGGCCCCTATCAAACTCACTAAGTTGACGAAATCGTACAGGTCTCCGTACTCTAGGCATCGTAACCGATCGTAAAGGATGTTAAGAACCAAAATCCGCCAACGTTGATTCTTTACTGCGGCTGAAATATTCATTTTTAGAGCGTTAGTGAATTTAAAAAAAGCAGTAGGAAACTGTTTCCGAATCGATGGATCGGTAGAGGCGGACCAATCCCATGGCCAGCACGCAGTCCCGATCTCACGCCTATGGACTTTTTTGTGTGGGGTCGCATAAAAACTTTAGTAGTAAAATCAGCTGTCATAAGAAGAAAGAGCCCGTGTGTGCATTAGAAATAGAGGGCGCCATATTGAAAATGTATTAAAAAAATGTAATTTCAAACAAATTATCCTGTATTAAGGTATGATTTCGTAAGTGTAGTATTTTTATTCCTTTTTCCTTCCTCCTCTTATAATGGTCATATTTTTTCCAATTCTTAATCGATTTTGATTTTTATACCTCACTTGAAAGGTAATGAAACGCTTTCTAGTTATTTTGTACGAAAAATTTGTATGCGACTTTTTCTAGTAAACTGAAGCTTTTGAGATGAACGAAGATTTTTTTAACAAACATCGAACTATTTTGAAGCTTACTGCATGAGATAACGTCAATAATGTACATTCGAGTATCAATTTTCATAGTTTATGACTTTGTTAACGTATAAAGGACGTTAATTTTATAAAATCTTAAAAATTAGTATAATTCGAAAACGGCTAATTTTCTGACAGTAGTTCCTGTAGTAAAATCGACTCAGATTTTCTTGTACTGTCTCCCCCCACCGGTTCCGGATCTATTTTCCCGTCACCCTGTATATTCTTCTAGAAAATACCGCTCATTTTTTCAAGATCCATATACCTACGCCATGTAAAGGAAAGTCCCAACTTTGCGGACACCCTGTGTATACCTACACAAAGTTATTATAAATGTACTTATATATCAATCCTTCTAGAATCTTTAACAAACAATCAAGTTTAGTTGTCAAACTGATACAATGAAATTGACAGAATATCCTCTATCCTGAAATCAACATACCCTTGGAATTTTCTAAAACCTGTGCGCCATTTTGACGACCTCATGGTGGCTTTATTTAAGCTTTTTCTATAGCTGATGAAAACGTGTGCTGCTGCAGACGCCATAAATGTAAGTAACACAAAAATAGTGTACATCATTTAAGATAAAAGTAAATTTAAAATGTTAGGTTACGATTAAACAGCTATACCTCTTACACGGTAATGGATATTTTGGGTATACGTCTGTATATTATATCGTTTCTAGTTTCTACCTAGGTACAGCTAGGTAAAAATATAGGTATCTATAGCTATACTACTTAATATTTATAAATAACTGTTCCCATGGATGAAATAAAACATGATTCTTCATAAGCGACGTACCAAATCATATTATTTGGTATAGTGAATCTCACCACACAATCTCTTTCACAACTACCCGATGGATCGGAGCATCCAAAAAACACTTGTCGCTTAATCACACTTATATAATCTCACAAAATGTATATACCGCATATATTAACAATGACAAACTTTGATAATCCATTACTATCGTTTTTCAAATTTTAAACATTTCACCCACCATTTCAACCATTTGAACTACAAAACACAGAAAAGTTAGATGCGAATACAGAGCCGAACTGTTACTAAGAGATGCTACATGTTTCAAGTTAAGACGTATAGGCTTGCCCTCCATTTGTATGTCACAATTGCATGCAAAAAATGTACGGAACCGTATCACGGTGTTTCTTTTTGCCTATCATGCCGAATAGGAAAGGAACGGAAATGCTATCTGGCAACTGGATAATCATATCATACAGCCTTCCTCGAAGTGGTGTGTTGCATACCAAATTCTGGGTCCAAAATGGCGATCATAAGCTTGACGCAACGTGATAATTCGTACACTTGTCACTTGTGTATTTACGTTTTACGGACATCCAAGACTTTTGTGTTTTGTGACGCGGGACAGGAACATTGTGGAGAAAATCCATGGGAAATAGGAAAGTCTTATTTTTGTGTTCTGTGCTCAAGAATGTAATGAATAGTATGAGGTAAATAAATGATTGGTTTTATTTTTGCATTTAATTTTGCAACTGTTTAATTTTAATTAATTTGTCACTCAAAGGTAGGTGTCAATTAATTCAATTTCCAGTATTGTAAACTATTGCTTTCATCTTACATCGCGTTATTCTTAAACGATTGCACATTGCACCTTATAAATAGGTAAGGTAGTTTACAGGAACCTCAGGTTTATTGCCAGTGCGATATTTTGGTAAAAAATCTATTTTTGCTTGCACTGATTCGTGTTAAATTATGTAATGGATGAGGGCAATATCGTAGAATCATTTAGCGGTACATGCCTGTGCATAAAAGGCTATGATATATACCAATTTTTATGGCTATCAGTGTCATTTATTGCATTTTGCTTTGCTGGAGATCATCCATATATTTTGTTTTAGGATGTTCGCTTCACAACTAGGGAATTTTCCAGTAAGTACCTAACAAAGTATCTTAGTAAGTAAAATGGGGTATAAACGTTGAAACATCAAGCACTTTGGTTGGCACAGTATTACAGAAAAATAATTTACTGCCTGAGCAGCAGAAATTGTAAGAAATGTGCATGAATAAAATATATATATTATCTAAAACCTTATATACCCGTAGGTGTAAGGTGTAATTACATTATTTCATTCTCTAAACTAATCAGTTATTATATACAAATTTAGCCCAGTCTTTCTTATGTCTTGCTCGGTGCACTGCTTTGTTCCAACTTATTCCCCTGTTCTTGAGTATTTTCACCAACTGGCCTTGTATCCTTCACCCTTACTAAATGCTCAAACCATTTTAATTGGTTTTCTTCAATACTTTGTAGTACAGATTCCACTCCCAGCTCTTCTCTAATAACTTCGTTTCTAATTTTGTCTTTCCTAGTGACTCCTTTGAGTGCCCTGAGGTATTTCATATCAATAGCCTGTAACTTGCTCTTTTGCCTGTTCGTTAATGCCCAGCTCTCGCTTCCAAATATCAATATGGGTCTGAATACTGTTCTGTACATGGTTTTTGCTTATCATTTTCTTCTTTAAGAAAGATGTTTTCAATGTAGTTCCATTGTTCCATCGCCTTGTACTACCACTCCTAGATATTTGAAAGCATCGACTTGTTCTATACGTGCGCCCTTAGTAACTACATTTATTCCATTCCTCTCTGCTGTCATCATCACTTTTGTTTTAGATACGTTGATATTCAAACCTCTCTTCGATAATTCCTGGATCCAGATTTTAAGGTTATCTTGTAAGTCTTTTGGGGTATTAGCGCACAATCACAGGTCGTCCGCGAATGCGCACTATGAAATATTTATTGGCCTCATTTTGTAGAAACCGACATTTACTTTTTTAATTTTGCTTTTGACAGCCTTTATTACATCATCCATAATCATAATGAGTAATATCAGGCTCAAGACTCCTCCCTGTCTCAGCCCATCTCCTATGATAAATTCCTCTGACGTCATGTTATCCTTTTTAACATAGCATGTATTTTGGTCGTATATGCTTTGTATACACTCTGTTAGGTGGTTATGTACTCCTTGTTTGAAAACGAGCGGTGCACAAACTTCTTAGCAGAGTTAAGCACAGGAGAAGTTCTCCTCTATGGGAAGAATACAAAAAGGCATTGCAGAAGTACAAAAAGGAGATTAGAAAGGCCTCCAGAGAATCCTGGAGGCACTTCTGTCAGTCCATAAATGACATTCCTGCTACTGCAAGGATACACAGGGTCCTATGCAAAGACATTAAAGCAAGATTGGGATCTCTGCATGATCCCTCGGGGGGAATACTACTTCTGAGGAAGGTACTCTGAGGCTTCTGATGGATACGCACTTTCCCGGTTCCACAGTAGCGCGATCAATCACAGAGTGCATGCAGTTGCGCAGGCCCTCAAGGGAGGACTGGCGCACGGCTAGGGAGATTGTCACCTTCAAAGGACGGTATGGGCAGTAGATTCGTTTGCTCCATACAAAAGTCCAGGTCTGGACGGCGTATTTCCGGCCATGTTACAGCAGGGACGGATTTCGGTTGTTCCTTACCTGTTGAATGTGTTTCGAGCATGTGTGGCCACGGGCTTCACACCTAGAAGCTGGCGGCAGGCTAACGTAAGCTGCAGCGTGAATGTAGCTAGAGACTGCCCTCAGGGCGGAGTTCTATCACCTCTACTGTGGTGTATCGTGGTGAAGGAACTCCTCGTTAGGCTCAGCAGTATGGGTGTCTATGCGCAAGCCTATGCTGATGACATAAGCATAGTAGTTAGGGGGCTTTTCTGTAGAACAGTCTCGGAAATTATGCAGGGCGTTCTGCGCTCCGTGGAATCGTGGTACACCACCCTACAGGGAAGTCGATATTTCTGTTAATGCTGAAAAGACCGAGCTGATCCTATTCACTAGGAGAAGAAGGCTTGACGGACTGGTCATGCCGACCTTCTTTGGGACTAGATTAGTTTTGTCCCAGTCAGTGAAATATCTGGGAATTATCCTGGATTGCAAACTGAACTGGAGAGAGCATGTGGAATACAAGGTTAGCAAGGCTCGCAATTCGATGTGGGCTTGTAGACGTGTTGTCGGGGTAAGGTGGGGGCTTAAACCCAAAGTGGTATACTGGCTCTACACGACGATAGTACGTCCATCTCTCTTGTACGGCTCCCTGGTCTGGTGGCCTTGCATTAGAACTGAGACAACTAAGGCCAAACTCAATAAAATTCAGCGTTTGGCCTGTATTAGCATTACAAGCGCAGTGCGAACAACGCCATTGAGTGCAATGGAAGCTCTGTTGGATCTCCCACCGTTGGATCTGGTGATCCGCGGTGAAGCGAGAGTAGTCGCTCATCGACTGTGGAGTCAGGGCAGCTGGGCTTTCTTGAATCCTGTCAAGGGGCATACTGCCATCTTAGTCGAATTAGAAAGGGAGAACCCCGTCCTTCTAAGCAGGGGTGATCGTATTACCCCTAAATATCGCTTCAACCGCAAGTTTATTGTGGAGTATCCAACGAGGGAGGAGTGGGACGCCGGTTGCCGGGGACTCTCGGAAGTGAGCGGGCAGGTCTGGTAAACGGACGGCTCGGTCACCGAAGAGGGCTCAGGTGCTGGGGTCTCTGGGCCTAGAACTAGGCTATCTCTGCCTCTCAGTGGATACACCACCATTTTCCAGGCGGAAATCTTTGCGATTCTGGCTTGTGTATCTCATATTCTGGAGGAGGGTGGGCCTAGGAGAAGAATAACAATCTTATCCGACAGCCAGGCTGCAATGAAAGCACTAAGTGCCTGTAAGATTACTTCGAGTCTTGTATTGCAATGCAGGGAGGCTCTGGATTGCCTCGCAGCGAGGCATCCGGTATCGTTAATATGGGTACCGGGGCACGCTGGGATAAGGGGCAATGATACGGCGGACACTCTGGCGAAAACAGGATCAGCCAGCAAGCTCGTTGGTCCTGAGCCAGCTCTAGGAGTGACCGCGCATAAAGCTAGGACGGAAATAAAGACGTTTGTTGCAAGACAACACTCTCAGAAGTATCTCTAGACATCTCCGCCAGGCACGAGAGCTCATTGAAGGGCCCAGTGCTAAGGATGGACGCTTCTGCCTATCTCTGGGTAGAGCGAACCTAAGGTTGCTGGTGGGACTGTTGTCTGGCCATAACACGTTACGGCGTCACCTGCACTTGATGGGGGTGGCTGAGGATCCCTTGTGCGAACGCGGCGGAGTAGAGGAAGAGACCTCGGCGCACGTTTTGTGTCGTTGTGAAGCTCTGAGGTACTATAGGCAGACTATACTGGGGTCCATTACTTTGGACCCTCGGGACGTCAAGGAGCTTGGACTCAAGGCGATTCTCAGCTTCGCTAAAAGGGCGAGGCTTGTGATTTAAGGATTGTAGAGGTGCATGAGGGCCCGCTTAAGCGACCTATGCACTGGCTCCTTATGGTGGCCGGGAGGCCTCTAATTTTAAGATTCAGTCATTCATTCACTCCTTGTTTTGACATGCTGTCCCACACAATTCTCCTTGAAATATTGTCGAACGCTTTTCCAGGTCTAAGAAAGCTAGGCTTAGCTCTGTGTTCTTTGTATTACATTTTTCGATTAGCTGTTTTATTGTACATATATGGTCCTGTATGCTATGTCCTTTTCTGAACCCACTCTGCGCCTCGTCTAGATCGTTCTCGACGTGTTCTCTCAGCCTTTTCTCCAATACTCTCTCATAAACTTTCAAAGGTATACTTAGCAGCGTGATTCCTCTATAGTTGTTGCACTCCCGGGTGTCTCCTTTTTTATGGACGGGGATGATTGTTCCTATTTTCCAATCATCGTGAAATTGTGTTTCTACTACCGCCTTGTTCAATAATTCGGTAAACAGCTCCAAGCATTCTTCGCTCATTTTCTTCAACATTTCAGCGGTAATACCATCGGGTCCCGCAGATTTCCCCCATTTCAGCGCATTGATGATTTCCGCAACTTTCGTTTTGCTCAGTTTCTGCTGATCCTCTTTATGGGAATACTGAAGTGTCATTTGCAGTCACATTTGTCTTCAGTGTGTTCAAGAGCTCTTCAAAGTGTTGTCTCCACCTTGCTATTATCATTTTAGGCTCTGTAATGTTTTGGTTATGCTTGTCTTTGACATGCCTGAGATTATACTGTTTAGGGTTTCTTAAAGTTTTCAAAACTCTATAAAATAGTTTTTGGTTTCCTCTGCTGTCTTGTTCCATCTTAGTCCCAAAATCTTCCCATGACTGTTTTTTCACTTCCAGTATCATCTCCTTAGTCTTTAACCTTTCTTTTTTATAGTCATTGTAAGTTTTGTCGGTCCTGTTCCCTAAGTAGGCTTTCCTTTAATCTTTTTTTATTTTTACTTGTTCCTTACTTTTGGCGTTCCCCCAACTTGTTAGCTTTTTGTTTCTATTCATTGACTAGTTTCTAACAATGTCATAGATATTAGATTGTTCGATTTATAAATATGTATGAAGTGTCTATAGGATTGGTAGCAAAGTTGAAACATGGAAGTCTGTCAGAGATAGACATAGGTTAAAATTTTTTAGAGTGTAACACAGTTTTTTCTTCCTGGATATACTCATTTGCTAATAAGTAAGCATTAGAACAATAAGATTCATTGTGGAATGTTATACATATTCATTTCATTATAGTTGCCCACATTTATTTACCTCTACCCATTGGTCTATAGATAGTTATAATAGAAACAGATTTGTTAATAGTTTCATTCCAGCAATTGGTATGAACTTTGTTTTGATATAATTGAATATTTAGAGATCTTTTCACAGTTTTTGGCAGGTCACATTACAACTTCAGGAATTACTTTAATACATCCGTTTCCCTCACACATACATATGCAATTGGTTTCCATGCATGGATTTTTGTTTGTGTAAGCTGTCAAAGATCTCTTGTTTCATCTCACTATCTTAAAAATGTTATACTTGTGATTGTCAGTATGAGAACTTGGACATGCAAGTTTACCTTTTGTCAGTCTTCAATATAAAACATACAATGCCTAGATACAGCTACAATGCTAACAGTCTGTGTTAAACTTGTTGGGGTATTTTGGACAAGTGAATGAAAACTGTTGTCTTACCCAATCCATGTGTGTATGCAAGAGAGAGTAGCAGTTGAATTAAGGTTTGGCATATTTAGTTTCCTTTGGTTTAGTTCAACAATCTACCTATTTAGCATGACATTGTAGTGTAACTGCCAGAAGCCATGAAAAAACTATAGTTTATATTTATCAAACTACAGGTATATCTAAATCTAAACCTGAAATGCTTTTCCCTATTAATAGTTTGCATCTAACAACAAAATATTCAAAGAAGAAGTCCCCAACTCATCATCAGATATGAGTGTCCTTGATGGAGCAGGTGATAACAACCAAAATGTGCCAGACAAAACGAAACTGATTGTCAACTATATTCCTCAATTCGCCACTGAAGATGACCTGGCTCAAATATTCACACCAATCGGGCGAGTTGAAAGCATAAAAATCATGAGGGACTTCAAAACTGGTTATAGCTTTGGCTTTGGTTTTGTAAAATATACCACAGCTGAAGAGGCTGCAAATGCAATTGAAGCGCTGAATGGATTTACATTCAGGTAAGTTAACATATCATTAGTTAGGATGATTTTCATTGGCTTTGGCATTGATTGACATATTCCAGTAGAAGATAACCCAATGCAATGAGTGAGTGAGATTTGAATTCATTAGTTAAGTTCTCCACCTCGCAAAAATAAAATTAAAAATGAAAACTGATCCTTCACAAAAGTGGGCATATGTATGTACTGTGATGCTACCAACCATTTGGAGTTGAAGATTGCACATTAATCAACCAGTGTGCCATGACAACAGTTCTGGGTAGGTTTTTGCATTTTCGGGTGACTTTTGGTATTTTCGGGGCGATAGACGAGGGTAACGTATCTGGTACAGTAAAAAACGACAGATAGCCTCATGCTCGCTCGTCGCCTTGGAGAGTTGGACGGTACTGGGCCTTGCTGTTTTTTGCTTGGTGATATCTTAAAATTGTGTTGACGGCTAAACGCAATCTCAGTATGTTACAGGTCCATTCAGGCTATTGTAATAACACATTGTATAGGAAGTAAAAATGAAAAAAAAAAACATAGTGTTATCTGGAAGACAGATACTCAAAATGTATTGTCAGAATTGTCTAATTTTACTTGAAAAACGTCAACATACTAGCCAGATTGTCATCATCAGTAAACTATTTCAAACATAAGTGATTTCATTTAGTGGCCTGACAAATATGGAGGATTATTAATCACATTTACTTACAACATATTTGCTTTTCATCCACTGTATTTGGGCTTCAACATTCTGTGTCGAGAAATTGTGAGATTACGGATGTCACATGATCAGTATTTACTGTGATCCATCAGTATCTATCATAGAACGTCAGTAAATGTTATTGTATAAAGTTATGTATCCACTCAGATTGACAGAATGATCAGTAAATACTGATGGTACAGACTCTAGTGGTAGTAACAGCAGGAATATACTTTTTTAATTTATTACCTCCGAAGATCAAAAATGTAAACTCCGTAGGGCTTTTCAAAAGACGTTTGCGGAACAAGCTATCGGACTGCGGTTTTTATGACCTAGGTGAATTTGTCACATTCCACAGTGCTTCTGATAGATCTTAACAAATAATTTATTACCATGTGTGTATCATATGGTTTTTTATGTTCTTATCGCTATTTGTATTTTACTTCCTTTTATCTATATTTTAATCTGTATACACCGACTTATCCAATGTCTACAATGTAGATCTAATTGGATCAATAAATGAATCTGAATCTGAATTAGTGAATACTAATTATGACATTTGCCTTAGGAATAATTACAAGCAAGGTTGAAGGGTAATTTTTCATTGCATGTTTGTGTCATGTTTAAGAATAAACACTTGCCTTTAAAAGAAAGTATCCTACTTGGCATTATGACTGTGATGCTGAAAATAATGTGTAAAAGTCCAAATACAGCATATGGCTGTGTCCTCTTCTTGGAGAATATGCTAATCAATGCTTTTTACTATGACAAAAAGTGAAATCCATGTTTTAATGATTTACTGGTGCTGCTAGTAATGCTGAATTCATGTAGCAAACACTCTTTCTAGAAACAAACGCCTAAAAGTATCGTACTCCCGTCCACCTGGTGCCGATATGAAGGATTCCAACTTGTATATCACAAACCTACCCAAAGATGTCACTGAGGAAGATATCGATAATTTGTTTAAACATTATGGAGAGATTGTACAGAGAACTGTTCTGAAAGATAAAATAACTGGGTTGCCAAGAGGAGTAGCTTTTGTGAGGTACATACAGTTTTGTCTAGTTGGATTAGTGATTTTATATGCACTTATATTTGTACAAAAAACTACAATGGTTTTTGTATGCAGGTATTCTAGGGGTGAAGAAGCTCAAGCTGCAATAGCAAACCTGGATGGTAAAATGCTGGAAAATGCAATATTGCCATTGAGCGTGAAAGTTGCAGAGGACCATGGCAGACAGAAAGCTCAATATTTAGAATGCTGGAACCCATTATTATTTAATAGGGGTAAGAAAAGGAGACTTTACTAATTAACATATTACATCAAAATTAGGTATAAGGATAATTTTTTTATAAAATACAACTAAGGGCATGTTCATAGTTTAGCAGTTCAGCTTGCTGCCCACCTCACCATACCAGTGCATCATCATAGCAGTGTTAACCTGTACGAGGGATGTCTTTTAAGTTTTGCATATGGAAATAAAATAACATGGTAGGTAGTTTTAAATGACTTTATTGTTTTTCACGAATATTAATACACATCTGCATGCGCTCGAACCAATTTTCAAAGCACCTATTCCACTCGTTTGCTGGCAGATCCCAAACGGCATTTTTGAATGCGTCAACTGCTTCTTCTGGTGACTGGAACCTTTGACCACGCAGTATGTTTTTAATTTTCGGGAAAGTAAAGAAATCGTTAGGACTTAGATCGGGACTATATGGAGGATGGTCCAATCATTCCACGTTTTCTTCCGTTAAATACTGCCTTGTTTTTTGGGCTGTGTGCGAGCTTGCATTGTCTTGGTGGAGAATGATTCTTCTTTCGGGGTTGATTTTTCGAAGCTCGGTGATGACTTTTGGCAAACAAATGGTGGTATACCAATCTGCAGTAACAGTTTTGACACAAATGTCGCGACCATCTTTTTCGAGACATTTCGAGAACGGATTACTTTTGTTGGCTTTTCTTCACCTTGGAACACCCAAACAGCCGACTGTCGTTTACTTTCTGGTTCATAACAGTAAATCCACGATTCATCACCACTAACAATGCTGTACACATTTTTTGAGTTTCCGGAATTGAAACGGTCAAGCGTTTTTTGTTACCAATTAACCTTGGCTGCTTTCTGCTCTTCAGTCAACAGGTGGGGTATCCAACGAGAAACTAATTTTCTTACTCCTAATTCGTCATGTAAAATTTTTTGAATTGAGGTCTTTGAGATCTTCTTCAAGGCATTCTTGTTGCGATAATTGTCTCTGAAAGTTGTAATAAATTATGTTCTCGGTTGAGTTCCATTTTTCTAATGGCTTGGTGATACTTAAAAATTCACTGTAGTGAGAACACTGCACGTATTGTTGTGAAACTTTGAATTTAAGTTTACTAAAGAGTGAGGTTAAGATTCAGTACTGACCTTCGATCCGCGCAGCCTACTATGTTTCTATATGCAAAACTTAAAAGACATCCCACGTACAACAGGGTGGCCAACGAAGAATGCAAGGTACTGCAACTGGGAAACTTTCCATCGTAGATGCCTACTATTACTAAAACTGATAAAGGAAGAACCTCAAAAATATTTTCAATTTTCTGAAATGGCCACTAGGGGGAGTAACTACAATCTTGAATCTAAAAAAGTGATGTTTCTGTGAATTCTGCTATATTAACCTAACAAAGAAATAGCTAATCTGTAAATTCGAGGATAATCTGAACCTTTTTTGTTTGACAAGTTTTGCTGTGAAAAAATAAAGTGATGAGGGGTATTCAAAGGTTTCATTAAAAAAGCTCCTCCCCCTAGCGGCTATTTCAGAAACTTGAAAATACTTTCCAGGTGTTTATCTTGTCCGTTTTAGTAATAACTGTTTTTGTCGCAAGCCTGTACGATGGATAGGTTCTCACATATAGTCTTAGCTGGTCATCCTGAACATAGTCACGCTTTTGATGAGCACGAGGTGGCTACGTCATCCACATAGCTAGTGAAACAGACAGCTTTGTATTGAGCCTGGTCGCTATCTTGGTAATGATGGGTACAAACGCCCTGTCGAGATGTGCGGCGAGTTGAACTACTGGGCAAGTTCGTACATTTATTTATTGCCTCAAAATCCGGTTTTTTAATTGTATTTAAGTAATTTACTCTGTATAGTTTTATATAAAGCTAAAGTGTACTTGCACAACAAAAATGTATAGTTCTTTTCACGGTTTTTGCCTGGTCACAGTAAAATCACCGGTATCTCCTTCACACATCCATCTCCCTGACACATACATATTATGCTATGCGAGGACGTTTTTTTGAGTAAGCTCAGACATACGTTCTTTATTTTCGTCTCGCCACCTCGAAAATTTTCTCGCCAGCGTATGCAGTCCTTTGTTATACCCAGCAGGGGTATTACGTATCTTGAAAAATGATATTGTCGTTTTTTTGACATTATACAGGTTTATTGTGACATTATGTAGGTTTTCTACAAGAGTCAACTTAGCACTAACTACAATTGATGTGTAGGGGAGGGTGGTCCACCATGAGACGGAAAAAGTTTTTTAAAATTAAAAAAATAGTTTTGTGTAAATGTTAGGTCTTAAAGAATGACATTTATAATCATGTTAATCTTAAAACAAAACATAAAAAAGTTTTAAATTAATATTTTTGTAAGTGAATTTTACAACATTCTTTTTTTTAATAGTGTATCATGGAGGCCCAGAAAACTGGGCCACCATAAGACATAAGACATATGTGAAAAAAAACATGTTTGTTACAAAACTTTATTAAATGGCGGTTTTGACAACTGAAAATATGTGCTTGAACGAAAAAAACACAAAAATATAAGATTTGTCAATGTAAAATATGCCAAAAATCAAACAACCATTTATTTTTCTTAGTAAAAAAAAAATTTTGCGTAAATTTATATTGCTAAACTGAATTTCAAATTTTAGATATTCCTGTAAACGTTTTGTTTTACCCAAATGAGATGGTGGTTGTAAAATCATTTTAACGTCATTTAAAGGAACCATTCCTATGTCAGGTTCCAAAGGATATGCGAAGTGTCCGCTGAATTTTACCGACTTCCGCAAAAACTTTACTTCTACTTCATTGCTGGAACTTTCCAGATTTATCACTTTTCCAACATAAAATATATTATCATTTTTGGCACTAAATGACACTAATACAAAGTCGTCAGGTTTGGGATTTCGATCCAGTTCTTCAAATGCTGAAGGATCAGCCTCGGGAATCCAGTCTGTTGAATCCTGGTCAGAGTCGGCAAAAGATAAACTTCCATCTTCCTCAGACAAAGATATATCATTGAAATCAACCTTCTTTTTTTGCAAATAAATTCCGGGTGGAAGCCTTTTGTTTGTCATCCTTGTGTTTTCTTTTTAATTTGTCTTTTTCAATGTTTTCCTGGTATTTTTTTCAAACATATCTTTCTCAGGCATATCAGTGGGAATGCAGCTGGTAATTTTTCTACGTTGACTATTAGAAACCTTTCTCATTCCTGCTTTTGGATATCCCTAAAATATTTGTGGGCTTATAAACAATTTCAATTTTGGTTACTGATCATTAAGTGTATCATTGGTAACTGTCTGAGCTACTTTAGATGATGATGAAGTATTTTCATCCACGATGGAAACTTCTGTATTGTTAATGTTTATAAATTCTCTATCGGTAACAGAGCTGCACAGGAAATCGTCGTCCGTAAAGACATTTCTGTCGAAAGGGTAAATTCCGGCCTTCTTGAAGCCTGATTTTATATTGGACGGAGTCATAGACCGTTCGAATGCTATTCCAACACAAGCAGCAATTTCGTAAATGGATAATGGATTACCCGGATGATGCAAAAGCCAAGAGTCAACTGCAGTATTATAATTCGCCTTAAATGGCGCAAATACTGATATGTCCAGTGGCTGCAGTCTATGACTACAATGTGGTGGAAGTGTGACTGTAATGACTCCATTGTCCTTAGCCAAATTCAGTTTTAATCCCAAGGTGGCTCTCATGATTGTCCATGATTGAAATAGTGGGATTTTCTTTGGACGACCCACTATATCTAATAAAATGTTCCATAACAGACGGAAATAATTCGGAGTTCATCCAACCTGAAGTAGAAGCCAGTCCTAATGTTCCTGCCGGTTAAAAAGTTATTACATTGATTTTGATTTCCAGTCATTTAAATTTTATAAAAATTTATTTTACAATGTATGAAATACAAATCAGCGCGTAGATATGAGGCAGTGCGAAAATGTTTTGTATGTGATGCGTCATTCCTAATTTTTCTGTGATGTGGCTCAATTACACACAGCATGGGTGCGGTGCTGATTTCCCGTAAAGCTTTCCAAAGATTTTGAAAATGCAAAAGAAAAAAATAGGTATATATATTTCATGAGCAGCATATTCCGTAATAATGTTCTCACCTAGCAAAGAAAACCATTACAAAAAATAATTTAGATGTGATCTTGCTACTCTGCTACTCAACTACACATCTTCTCAGGGTATACGGACTATCTCGGATTCTGCAACCACAGAGCATGATGGGGAACTGAGCTGCAGCATGGTCATTGAGAGTGTCATGTCGTTGTCTTATTTCTCCTTAGATGGGCGCTTTTGATGACGCTCAGCACTTATAGCGAGCAAACGCGGAATCTACTATTTGTAAACCAGGAACTATTTAGGCAGCGACTGGACATTTTGGCGTTTTTTGTGTTTTATATGTATTTTTAACGTAATAACCCTGCCGTTCAAGTATGAAAGAGCAGCTGCATTGAAAATCGTATCATGTAAAAAACTTATTTAACGTCAAAAAAAACCTATAAGATGTCATCTTGCAAAGTAGGTATTTTTAGGGCGCAAACAGTCATTCCACGTTTGCTAACTTGTGAACGTCCATGAGTCCGTGATTCCTCCACTCAACTAAACTATACGCATTATTGGTTGCATATGTTTTGTGAGGCCAAATGGTCCTTGTCTGAAGTGTTTATCTCCGAGAAGAAAGTTGGTTGAATAGCAATATCGCATCTGGATGATTATGTGTATTGGTCTGCATGTGTATAAAATCAGTGATATTTGCTGTGTGAGAAAATCATTACCGAATATGCTGCCAATGAAGTATATCTATTGACTGTGCCCGATGGGTTATTTTTATGTTGTGCTTTCTGAAGAGAGGTTATGTTCAAAGTTATAAATTTCGAAAAACTGAGGAGAATTGCGGGAAACCATCACCGCGCCCGCGTTTTGTGTAATTACTGTTAGCATATAAATGACTTGTAATTCGACATTGTACAGTAAATATAATTATGAATTATCTCTCTCATTTTTGAAATTCAGCAAGTTTCTATATGTAATTTCCAGACTGGATAAGAAAAAGTGGATGCGCAACTAATTTTTGGCTTTGAATCTCAATTAAGTGTATTTGAGACAAGAACCCAATGTAATTATCATCAACACATACAACTTACAGCTTAGACCTCCAGTAATGCCTTCTCAGAAGCAGATTTTACATCACTTCAGAGCCAAAGATTAACAAGCCTCATGACGTTTAGGCAACATGTACAACTAAGTGCTAAGTTAACATCTTGTAGAAAAACCTACATAATGTAAAAAAACAGCATAATGTCAAAAAAATCGGCATAATGTCACTTTTCAAGATACGTGATACCCGTGCGAGTTGCTCAGTATGTAATTTGATCTACGAGAGATAAACTCCACACATGGTACAGTTAGTTGATCTGTTTACTTATCTCGTAATGACACGGATGATGGTAACTGTCACATACCATGAAAAGACCTATGCATTAATTCACATTTAACTAGGCCTGAGGCAAATTACGATACTAATCTAGGAAACCAAAACATGGGATAATTTTGTTCAACCAAAATTATAAGCTATATTTTTTGTCATCTGTATATTTCCCAATTTCATGACATTTTTTTATCCCCCAAGGACACGGTTTTGTTAAACAATCATATGAGTCTCTTTCAAAATTCTGACGTATTTCCAAAGCATACTTTGAACAGACTGACAGTTCTAAAATCTGTTTCGAGTACCTGTGCATGGACTGCAGGTTTATCACTATCAACCATATTCTCCTATCTTTGACACTATTCTCCGAATGTTTAATTTTTGTGACTTTGAGGAGTTACTAAGTATTTTTTATGGCACTGTGATCTTTTGAATTTTCTCCTAGGATTTCCCCAGATAAGAGGAGTGATGCCGGTTCGAGATATGAATCCTCCTAGAGGGAATTTTCAGAATCGTTTTGGCAGATATAGCCTAAATAGTATGAGGAACATAGGATCAGGTGATACGTTCCTACAAAATCCGTTTTATTACTGAGAAGCTCCAGCTTTTAGAGAAAACGTTTTTGTTTTGAATTTTTTTCTTCGATTCGCTCCTTATCAACTTATCCATTATTTATTTATTTTCTCTTTCTGTTGAATCTGTTCTTTTTGTTAAAGTTTGTTGTTTGGTTTGTTCGAAGTCGTTTTGTATTTGGTTGGCATGGGGCGAATTGAAAGTGTTTTTGTTGGATTTTATTCAAGGACCGAGAAGACTGTTTCGTTAAATTTAGCGAGATGTTGAACTAATTTTACAAGTTTCTACATTTTTTATATTCGTAAGATTATAATAGCGACCATGTAATTGTTATCGGCACTAAGAAGATGCAGATTATCATGTATTATATTTATTTAAATCATTTATATGAAAGTACAAGAAACGATGTGCAATTTTAGATAAAGAGAAATGTAAGTACTTTAAATTCATTGTAACTATGTAATTTTGTTCGTAATTGCCATTTCTTGTATATTTCTATAGTCTAATGTTATAGTTTCATTAAAAAATAAACTATTTTTGACTATATCTGTTATTGTTTCATTGTCCTACAGTTTGATCTGTTCATGATTCTGGATGCGAATATGACCATTAAACAATTGTAAAGCATCATGGGACAACAGGTAGAAAATGAGTCGTTATCAACCAATGGTGGGAGCTATTGTCAAATTGACGTCTGGTTTGGAATATACGAACCCAATTTATGCGATTTTGTCATAGGAAATTTAAGAAATAATAGGAGTCTGTAGCAAAATCTCGATTTTCGTTTCCTGTTGTTACATGTTAATGAAACTTTGGAAATTTGAGGCGCTGAGTGTACATTCAAAAATCGTGATGCGTTGTGAAGACAAACTTCTAGTAGAAAATAAATATTTCAGACCACCAGTGGGTACTAGCAACAAATTTATTCGGAGTCTACGCACCCGATTTACCTAAGAGGGGAGTTTAGGTCCAGATCGCAGATACGAGGGTGCTTCTAAAAATGTTCACATAGGACATTGAAAAAACATCTATAGGAATTTCCATTCTCCTGGTCACAAACAACCGAAGCTAGAAATATTTTGGTGTAGTTTGAAATGTTGAATCCCAAAATTACCTCTAATCGTCCGGCTTAGCGCCAAATTAGTACATTGACCAGGAAATAGATTATCATACTAAGGGTAGTCATTTTGATGCTGAAGAAGGAAGAACGGAATATGGAGTAAATTTCTGACGTGCTGATTCAAAAAAGCACCACTTTTGTTCGAATCGGCTCTTCGAGATATAATCGATTTAACATTTTAGAAAGTACAACAGTAGTACATTCTCGACCTATAAAAAGAACGTAGAAAAACAAAAATTTTAATGTTGATGTAATAACATTTATTCAAATTGCTTTGTGGATATGAAACATCACCTGGAAAAGGTCAGATTTATATAAGCAAAGGAAAAAATACATTACTAAATCAGAATATATGTTGTTATATATCAATAAAATATATAACTATGTAATTATTAAGAATTATAGAATTCTTGCAGAGTAAAAAGGTTGTAGTTGCTAAATATCAAATATGCATTAACAAAATCTCAAAACATTTTAATATTGTAAATGTTTTTTTAATTGCTTATTGATATATCATAATGACATATATTCATTTATGGATAAACTATTTTAAAAACACATAATGAGTATTCCTTAAGTACAAAAGTTTTCCCACTTCTGTATTGGAAGCTTTAAAATCTAAATTAAAATATTGTCTGCGGTTTGCTTGTCCAAACATCCTAGATATGGGACCATGTGCTGCATAGTAATTTCTAGTTCTAACTAAAAATACACACTTTTGAGGATACTTTGTTAGCAGGTCACTTTGGAAAAAAAATGATAGGTAATCAATCACTGGTGAGATTATTTACTACAAAAACCAGTTTTTGATAAATAGTGCTTCAGTGGGGTCTAACCAATTTGGCATCAAATTTATTCTGATATTAAGCACTGCAGTTCTACTGTGTCTTGTAACATAAATTTCTCAGTTGGCAGTGTCCAAGAGAAAGGTTTTTCAGCAATTAATCATTTTATAACTCCAAACACTTGTTCAGCATGAAGAAAACATTTTTGATTGGGGTTGGAGAAAATTTGCCAAAACCCATTCTCCATGTGACTGTATTTTCTTTTTTCCCCTCAACTGAAGGGCTACATTGTTATATTTAGCGCAATTTCACGATCCATAACACTTCATAAGGATTGGCAAGATCACCATTTCGTAGTCAACTTTGTAAAATATGCTTAGTTGCCACTAAATGGAAAATAACACACCTTTTAATAAAACCAATTTGGTTTATTATATTCTTAAAGTTAAAACACATATTGATAAAAAAATACATTCAGCTCATTTCAGGCTCATCTTCTCTTTTCCTCTTCAACAAATTAGAATCATACTCCACTATGTTAATATTACTTCCACCCATACCTGTGTTAGCAGGAGCAATTTGAACATTCTGTGTTATTTGAATCTTAGGCTTTAATACTGTTTTTTGAAACTGTCCTGGACTACCAGCCCCCAGCACCATGTTCGGATTACTTATTTTTGTCATTGGTTTGGGAATGCTCACAGTCTGCTTTCCAATCATAGGTGAGGTTCTCTTCAGGAAACTCACATTTGTTTTTGGTGTTAGCTTGAGTCCTTGACATCCTTGTACAATATAAGATTGTTTCTTAAAACTCTTGAGTGTATAGTTGCAAGAAGACAAGCAGTAACGATCTGGGGGTAGTCTCAGTCCACAGTGTGGCTTCACAGGTGGCAAAGCTGAATAATTCTTGGTATGAGCCAACTCTAAAAGAACTTCTCTAGGCGGTGGGGTGGTGAAAGTTGACTCGGAAGTTAGCTGTAGGGCTAATCTTACATCATCAACGTCCAGGAACCTTTTCTTGGAGTTATTCGCATACATTCGTGCTTCTTCTAGTATAGACGTGGCGTATCTGTACACGAATTCTGTCAACTGTACTACTGTCTTCGGTTCGTACTCTTTTATTCCCATTTCTTTCATAATTGCAATTATAACTTGACCATCTTTGGGGACATGCTTGGGCTGAGCTGGTTTAGCTTTATCCTTATCACCCATGTTTATAACTTCGTTTACAAAGGAGATGCTCAAATAAGTTCGGCCTCACAATGTTCAAATAATAAATTCACCAGTATTTCGAAGTAAACATCGTTCCTGCGGGATAATCAGCTCAGCTTCAGAATTTATAGGATTTTTTTAAGCAATAACTAATAATTAGCTTTGTCAAATTGGTGTTTACATTTGGTTGGACGAAGATTGACAGCTAGTACAAACGTGACAACTACCATTGATTTGTGATCTAGATTCTCACCCACTGTCTCTCGAATTCATCCGCCATCTTGTGTTCATTCCTTGTTCAAGTGAGTGATGGAGTAGAAAATTGGAAGATGCTAGGTGATACAGCAGTCAGGTGGGTCAGAATAAAGATAACATGGCCACGCAAGACAACTCTGTTGAAATGCATTCCACTAGACTCTAGAAGACTATCCCTAGCGAAATTTTTGCCGAAATCGTTGTACAACACTTAAAAAATCCAAATGAAGATTGGAAAATTGCCGCTTTGACGTTTGTCGTTACCTCGGGATAGACATACGATCTTGTCACCCAGATTGTGGCGTCGCCAGCTCATTGGACAATTTTGCTACCTCTGCTATTTTGCTAGAATGTTATAAAAAAAGCTTTTTATAAAATATTGAGGGATACCAATGGTGATATATGAAATTTGAGGCGCAGCAATGTTGGCAAAAAAAAACTAAACAAAAGCTGTTATTTACATTTTTTAAATGCTCAGTTTTATAGGATAAAATACTTTTTACTTCTTCCAATAATTGCATAAAACAATGTTTTATTATATAAATATATTTATTAACTATTTGATCTAAAATTACATGATCACTAATAGGAGACGTACGATTTTCATTTTACTCTACTATTCATTAGTATCCATCTTATATGCAGAGATATTAGATATCCATTTTTAAGGAAGCTACAAATGGACAACTTATAACTCTTCGATCATGTGCAATTACAGGCAGACGCATTATGGACAAATCACATCGCTACTAACTATTGTTGGACATTTTGTGCCCACATATCCTCCAACAACCAAGGTAAGGTTAGTGCACGTTTTTGTGAATTTCTTTTTATAATAATGTATTATAGGGTGGCCAAGATAAGGATCAGACTAGGTTAAATTCAGTAATCACACAATCTTACATCAAGCATTTGTTTACAACGCCGACTTAAATAAAATAAAAAAATAGAAAAAAACACGTTTGTTTACACACAAGCAGATGAGTATGCAAGGCTCACCTAGTTTCCTGCACAGATATCCTGTGGCAACAAATACTTGTTATCAAAGATATTGTAATTTTTTGTGACGATAACTGTCAAATTTTGCCGCGGGTAAACTGTTTTATTCAAAACTTCTTTTTTATATAACATTCTAGCAAAATTGTGCGATGAGCTGACAACGCAGCAATTTCGGTGACAAGGTCAACTGCTAAAACGTATGTCTATCCCGGGGTAACGACGGAGTCATATAGTACGTCAAAGCGGCAGTATTCCAATTTTCATTTGCATTTTTTAAGCGGTGTGCAACGATTTCGAGAAAAATTTCGCTACAGATAGTCTTCTAGAGTCTAGTAGAGTATATTTCAATACTTGTCTTGTGTGGCCATGTTATCTTTACTCGGACCAATTCAGATTCTAACAAGACAGCTAAGTTTATGGATCTTAAAGGTAACATTTTGCGCAACAACGCTAACTACTCCCGGTGTAACTGGAAACTGTCAAGACTTTGAGAGGAAGGGGAAATTAGTGAAATTACATAATATGTTCTCCCTCCTGTTCACAACGGGATCTCGCGAAAAAGACTCTTTTGTAGTGTCTAGTCAATGTATTTGATTATTTTGTAGGTTGAAAGCTTTGTGACTGAAAGCTTCGGAGTTAAGGATTACGAACCTCCCTTCTTATAATGCGGGTCGCGGGTCTCACATGAAACTCTCAACGTTGTATACAACGTTCAACACCCCACAATTGGCAAGTGTGTCTCCTACACGATTGAATGAACTTTTTAGTCTCGAACGTTCGACGCATGGTGGTGCCAACGTCTATTATCGGTGTCAGTGTCGCGCTTGCACCTTTACAACTGAAGGAAAAATTATACAAAATAAACGATGAAACAAATTTTTCGAGCGCCGAAAAGTAATTTCAGATGTCATCAGCGACCAACACTTAAGTCTGTCAGAAGCCTCAAAAATGTCGAAAAATGAAGTTTGACCATGTTGTCTGTTTTTCGACGATAGCTGCATCGTCACTATACCGATTTTCAAAAACTGCAGAGCTTTTTCGTCATTTTCATGGTGGTAACCTAGGGTCAAAATTTCATCAAATTCGTGATAGTACTTTCAGAGTTATCAATTATTTAATATTTTTTGTTAGTTATGAAATAGAAGTCAATATATCTCTTAACTAGTCTTGCATTGCAACAGGACACAACTGTGAGCACTTGATAATTTACAATTTACTAAAACACATATCCTCAGGCCATCCATAACTGACCTGCGAAACGTACAAAATATTAGCAATATGAAAAAAGTGTTGCTATGGCAGCCCTTTTTGTATGTATAAGTAGATGTCTTATGGGGATTCGGTCTCAAAACTTCCAAAATCCGCCACCAGAGGCGCTGGCGTCGCGCGCCATTGACAGGTTGTTGGACGGAATCTGTATTCATGAGTTGGGGATTCCGCCGCTAGATGGCGCTGTCAAACCAAACGGAATCTGTGTGTCATTGGACACCTGTCATGCGTCATTGGGCATCTCACGCATAGATGGCGTTACACGTCATCTGTCATACGTCATTGGACACCTGTCATTGATGGGTTGAGCATCTCGCGCATAAATGGCGTAGATTTGTTTGGCGGTGTACAAACCTAACGGAATCTATGCGTCATTGGACAGCTGCCATTGATGGGTTGGGCATCTCGCGCATAGATGGCGCCGATGTCGCACCTGTCTGGTGTTGGCGTGGATTACGGGGGGCAACGTGTATACAGGGGTGCATCGAAAAATAGCGGATCGATGGACCGACGGTATATCGTTAAATCGTATATAGCAAGGCGTGACCTAAATAGCGTGGTGGGCTCCTCTGGTCGGTCGGTCGGTCGGTCAGAATGTCTCATAACCTGTATACGATGTACTGTTATTATTATACAGGATGATACCGTTCAAAATGAAAATAGTATAATGGATATTTTATTGAAACATATAGTATATATAACAATAAGGTTGATTGGTGTGTGTGTGTGTGCCATGTTTTGAATACCCGCGCTTGAACAACTTGCAACAAGAAATTCCGACAATATTATTTCGCAAACCAGAGGTATTTTCAATAAAACTACATATCAGGGAGTACTTTAGATGTTGATACTAATCGACTCAAATCATTGTTCGACAACTGATTTGGTTCATGACAGACAAGAATCAAATTATGTATTTCACGGTTCAGTTCTGGTTGTTTTTTAATTTTTTCCCTAAACTTCAGGTAACCCAGGAAATATGTCTCTTATCCGTCCTCTGTTCAACACATCAGTAAAATCGTTAGAAAATTCTATATATGACATATTATTATAAAAGGTATAGGACCGTCCTGCGTTTGATTGAAAAATAGCATTGATTCGAGCCCTATCGGGTATATCAATTGAAAAATTATCAAGAAATTTAATGGTAGGGAATGATGCTGAGAAATAGTTGTTTGGAGACACAATGGTAATCAAGTCACCGTTTGTTGATTGGAAAATATGTTGTAAAGTGTATTGACGTAATTCTGTAGGAACATAATCGACAAGAAGTTCAGGCTGAGATGGGATAATCATTTCGTTTAAGTCTAGTTTCCATATAAACATATCATGTGCAATATATAATCGGTAATTTGAAAACTCTGGAGCAATAGCTAAAAACATAAAATCTGGAATAATATCACACAAATTTTTGAGGATCGGCTGCTTACGAGTTGTAGATCTTATAGTTGTTGTTGTTTTTGGTATTGCTGATGCGGTGGTAGACGTTGGGATTGAATCATATTTGTTTTTTCTTCCATATAGATATTGTACTGCATTTATATCATCAACATCTAGACCACGAATCTCATGCTGATAGAAGGCAAACATAATAGCATTCGGAGAAGCACTATGTGCTATGCCGAGAGCATGTCCAATTTCATGAACCAACACCTGATAGAGAATGATGTCAAAAATCTCAGATAGCAAATATAAATTCGTTTACCCCCCAATCAAAATCTTGACTGAAAAAAAATTAGGCAGCAAATATACAATAATCATACACGAATTTACTATATTTCTAAATTTCTACTCTCATGTGCAACTTGTAATTGGAATTTCCGCCGGACAAACGATACATTCATGTATTACTAAGAAATTATATAAAAAATACTGCAACCGCAATGAATGTTGTTTTCTCGATAAAAATGGTACTGAGAATATGATGCATATAATATGCATATTTACGATACAATTATCTCATGCACGCGTGTGTTATCTCAACCACGTATTTATATTTAGCGAGCGCATGCAATAGTCATCATTGTTTCACACTTAACGCACAACGCTGCAAGCTGGATACAATAGTGCTTCGAGAGAGACGAGATAGCGAAAATTTTAAAAAAAGTAAGTGCTATTTTATTTAATATTTTTCTTTTTTATGTCTCTAAATGCAACTGTTTTTTTTTCGTGTTATGCTTCAAAATAGTTAGACGACTCAATTTTTTTTATAGATGGATTTATCAAAAATTAATGCTGCGTCTTCGATTGTAGACCGCAAACCTATCAGAAAATTAAAGGACCTACCAGTTGGGACACCATTTGCAATCCAAGCAGCTAAAGTGGTCAAGTCGAAATTTGGGGAAGCCGTGCTACTAGATTTAGGACCGGAAGTGCTATTTCTACCACAGCGGGTGACGGAAACGTACCAGCCGGTCATCGACGAACTTTTTCACGGAAAATACTCGATCATCTTCCAAGGGGAAGTGGACGTAGGGAAAAGCCGACCGCTAGCATCATTCAAAATAGTGGAAAATTAACAAAGCAGAGAACAGGAGGAGGACAGGGTGAGCATTTTTATATATTTTTGAGTAATGTGTTTGCTTGAAAAAAAAAAATGTCGTCTTTTCAAATGTCTTCAAATAAGGTTAAAAAGATCATCAAACAAACAGACGGTGTTCTACTA